ACCAGAGTTTACAGATATTATTCAGAGGTACTAGATAATCTTAGCAGGCAGAGAAATACGAATCTCTAGTATACCGATAGAATATCAGAATTTAGAATCATTATTTGAAGAGTTCAATAACTGATGGATTATCAATTATTCAGAATGAGACTTGAGTTAATAAGAAAGAAATGAAGACTCAGGACATTTACAGTCTATGTCGATTGATTTCATTATCAAACAACTTCAGATGAATATCTCCCAGAATTAATGCTTATCGACTGGTCAATTCATTGTCTTTACAGGGTATTTACACTTTAATACCACAAATTCTAGTCCATATATAATCTTCGGAATAATCGCTGAATAAATCTTCCAATGTCTTTATTTCTTGTTCACGCTTCCACTATATCATGAAATGCTGACGTGCTTGATTTGTAGTTCAAGATCCATAAGAACGTTACATCATGTATGTTCACTTACGTTTCCAAACTCATCCAAATCACTTACTTAATCCTTAGTCCTAGAGGTTACTTAGTTCGTTTAGCATTCAAGTCCATTACATTTACTTCGGGATTTTCTAGAGTAATTCAAACGTTCCTGAATTTTTTATACATATTGTACTTCCGTTCCATTCAATTTGGTCTTCGTGGTTGATTTGTCGAACAAACGTCTAATTCTTAGTATTGAATGCGATCTAGAGTTGAGTTGAGCTGAGTACTTTCAAAATTATCATCGAACCACACTTGAGAAGACGAACACACATTCAACTGATACCTATGTCGTTCAGGTACTGACATATCATTACGGTTGATCGGCTCACTTAAGTTATTCCATAACTTCTAAAGGTAGTCCAACACCTATGCTTATTTGGATTTCTTAATTAATTCAAGACATTTACTTAATATAGACCATGAGGGTATTTTGGTCATTTTGGTGTTCAGTTTTATTCCATTCATTACAGAGCTCGATGATATCCAATCATTCCTGAGGTTGGTGATATTCTTGGGTTATTTCCATTACAGGGGTATTCTGGTCATTCTACAGATCCGATGTATTTCAATCATTTCCTTCCATCCTGTCTTATTATTTAATTCCAATTTATCATCTATTTCAGTCCCTTTGAAAATTCTGATAAAAGGTCACCCTGATAAATTGTTCTTCAGGTATTTACTCGTAACTTAGATATTTTCGGGTCAAGTGCCTTCTCAGATTTTTACCATCGGAATATCAAGAATTTTTTGCACTAAGTCAGGATCTTAACAATCAAATTCGTACTTAATCGAGTTAAGTACAAATCCTCAAAGTACATTCTTATTCAGGGTCAACTCGGACTATTTTACCTCTCAGGGGCATTTTCATAATTTCCTAATCAAATAATTTCGATATTAGCTCTTAACGAAAATAAATATAATTTAAAGATCCTATGGTCAATTGCTTTGCCGAACATTCTCTGATCTTGAAATTATTCCTTAACAAACTTCTAGCATCTTGCGTAAACCCTTTTTGGCATTAAAAACCAGTTATCCAAATTTTCCAAGCAAAACTAGCATTTCTTATGCACATCAGTAGTTTCATCATATCAATAAGTCTTTAAAAACCTCTTATCCAACTTCCATAGTCAAATCTTGTCTTTTTATAACATAAGGGTATTTTTGTAATTTTACCCTACCGGAGTATTTTCATAATTTCTCATCCAAGTACCTTTAACATTTAACCTTTGATGAAATAAACTCTAAGTTACAGATCCATGTTGATTTCTTTATCACTAAGCACAGAACTTGTAATTTAATTCTAACAATCACTCAATTTCTTATAAAAGTCATCTGAACCATAATCAATTACTGAACCCTTTTACCGTATTCAGATCGAGTGTAGAAACTAATTAACTACACAAATGAGACCAACATTATCTTAATCATGCATTTACCAATATTCACATTTTCCATAAAGCATAAAGAGGTAGTAAAGTATTACCTCGATTTTTGTGTCATACTGATCGACCATTAAAATTCTGTTCGAACACCCTCGATCTTGAAATCATCTTCCAATATTTCCTCGGATCCATATCAACAGAAATTACATCAGAAATTATATCAACAGATCGAATCGGATGATAAATCAGTGAAAAATAGCTTACCAGGTTCGAATTTGGCGAAATGGAATTTGGATTCGGATTCAGGACTTCGAAAGCATAAAATATGACTTTTCAAAAATTTGGAATTTTTGGTCAAAATTAAAGTCAACAGGTTTGACTGAAAATTTTGAGGCCTTCGGGTTTGAATTTCGAAAAAAAGACTGCGGAATCGGATTTGGAACGTCAAAAAATGTCAAGATAGGTATACTCGGTCAAAGTCAAAGGTCGTTTAATGCCCGGTCAAAACCGGTCAAAGTTTTGGTCAACAGTGGTCAACGCCGGTCATTTGGTCGGGTCGAGTCAACCGATCGAGTCAACGGGTCGGGTCGGGTTGTAACCGGTCATTTGGATCATCCCCACGCGCAGTGGCAGCGCGTAGGGGCGCGTGGAACCCCCTCCGGTGTCCTATAAATCACGTAAAAATTTGTAAAAATTATTTTAAGCGATTTCGAGGCACTTACAAAGCTCAATTCACAATTTTGAACGGCGGAGAGCTCGATTTCAACAAATCGGAAACTTTGGCCGCTTCACCTCCTCACGCGCCGCCATCGACGGAGACCAAGAATGACACCGGTAGACTCGGAACGGAACAAGGAACACGATTGTGCGGGAGGTGTCGTAAACGGATGCTCGGATCATCGTGAATCGATGAAAAACCAATTGAAATCGAGTTATTACCGACGATACTTCCTACTGAAATTAACAACGAACGGCGATGATTTATGACGAAAGGTTTGAGGGTTTTTGTTCCTCGGTCGACAACGAACACGATGGTGGTTTTGGCTCGTCGATCGGAGATCGAACGACGAGTAGATCGGAGTTGAAAGTTGTTGACCGGGAGAGGAATTATACAGAAATACACGGGGAAATGGGGTTTATATTAACTCCTAAAGAAAAATGGTAAAATCATGAGTTTAGCCACTGAACTTCCTGTACTTCTTAAAACAGTCTTTCAACTTTAAAATTTTACAATTTAATCCACCGTTTCTTTCAAAATACCAATTAAATTCACCACTTTATAATTTCTTAAATTTAGCCCCCTAATTTGGGGTGTTACAAAAATGTTGAAAATTTAGGCATTGGTGAAGAAACATTTCCTCATTTGAATATATATGATCCTATAAATTGGGAGAATCTTGACAATAATGCGAGGGATATATTAGTTGAAAAATGGCCCATAAGAGAAATGGATCTTGAATTTCCTGTTGATAAATATTATAGACATTTCTCATATGAATGTTATTCTAGAAAGTTGAGCAATGGTGAGACTAGTGATAGAAAATGGTTAGTTTATTCCAAAAATGTTGAAAAAGTATATTGTTTTTGTTGCAAGTTGTTCAAATCGATTAGTAATGTAAGTTTGTTAGCAAATGATGGCTTAAGTGATTGGAAACATATTAGCCAAAGGCTTAAACAACATGAAAATAATGTTAAACATATGACTAATATGAATAATTAGAATGAATTGAGAGTAAGATTGGATAAAAATCAAACAATCAATTAAAATTTGCAAGAAGAGATTTGAAAGAGAAAGAGCGTTAAAGACAAGTGTTACAAGAATATTCTCAGTTGTGAAATGTCTTGCTAAACATAATATTCTTTCGATGATCCAATGAAAAACTATATCAAGATAACAATGGTAATTTTGTGGGATTGATTGAAATGATTGTAGAGTTTGATGTGATTATGCAAGATCATGTTAGACGCATTCAGGATCGTGAAATTCATTATCATTATCTTGGACATAAAATTCAAAATGAGTTCATTTCACTTTTGTCTCAAAGTGTGAGAAATTCTATCATTAAGATCATTAAAGAAATTGTTTCTTATGAGAATTTGTGTATGTTGTTTTGTAGGTGAGAGGCGTCAATTTTCGATTGAGGGAAACGATTCTAAGAGATAATTGAAGACATAATAGAGTAAATTAAGTGAAAAATTGAGATGTCTCTTTATATATTTGGTAAAATAATGTTGGTTAATGTAATAGAATCTACTCGTATAATTTTTAATGAAAAAATTTGTTTGGCGTTTACCGAAATTTATTCTTGAATTTTAAGTTATTTTTTAAGGGCCCTTATCTCTTATTTTGTCTAGGACCCTTAAAATATCAAGATCGACCCTGCTTCCACGCAAAGAGAACGCAGTTGTTTTTGAAACATATTAGGGACAGGGTTATTGAAAATAACCCCATTGTGAAATACAATGATACTAGGATCATTGAAAATAACCCCATTGAGGATAATGTAGATCCGATTGAAATACAAGAACAACTAATGGAAAAATATGGTATTTAAAAAAAATAGAATCCCTCATTTTTTTAGTCATTAAAAATAATATTTATTATATGAGTTAAGATTCTCTTATACAATGAAAAAAATTTATAATTTTACATTGACTTAAAATAATTGGATAAATAAAAATAAAGAACTGAGAACCTGAAATTAGTTAATTGTTTTTTTAATGAATATATTTACATTTCTTACTATTAATTTCAGTCGTCGATTTTCACTCATCCAAAAATCATAAATCAATGTAATTTTTTTTAATTTTATATTGTATAATTGGATTTTATCTTTTATATATATATACACACTAAATATATTTAATTTTACGGTGATTAAGAAGCCATAGCTAATGTGCGATGGCTGATTATTTTCCGAAATACTGAAGTGCAAAATGAACCCCCTTTGGATGAAGGGAAAAGGATGATAGTAAACACAAGGAGCACCTTTGAAGAAACGAAAGAGGTTATGTTATGTAATACTCTAATATCTCTGCCAAAAAACCTTGCCTAATAGTAATAACACTCTGTAGCCTGTACAGGAAGTAAAGCCATTCCAGCACCACCACCCTCCTCTTTCCCAATCTCCCGCCTTTAGATTATAAACATGGCATCATACAGACTCTTTTACAATAGAAGCCTGAGTAAAAGGACCGGGATTAGCTTCAGGAAATGTTAGAGATTGAAGGGTTCGCCAAAAAGTCTAGAATGCTATCCCGAGTGCGGCACGATCTGAACACTCCTTTTTTGCTAGTAACTGCAGAAACAAAATTATTTATATGCCAATGCCTCCTCATTACTCGTGTTATCAGTATTCTCTCCTGCACTCTCGTCATCTTACAGATTATCTGAGACTGTCAACTCTGTCGATAGCATCCAATGCTTTCTCTTTGTACACGCCAAAACCAACAATTGGAACCCCCGAAGGAAGCCTTTTCGTCAAGGCCTTTTCATTGCTTTCTCTTGGAGGAGAGTGCGTGCTCTTGCTCAGGCGATCATGCTTTCTCAATTTCCTCCACTCACAGTCAAAATCCAGGCTTCTGCTAGTCCCCCGGATTCTTACTTTCTTAGTTAAATCCTGCAACTTCTCTTCTTCTGGCGTTTGAGCAGTCGTAGGCTCAGGTTTGGGCTGCTCATTCGTCTGTGCGGTGTAATTTGGGTTTTGATAGATGTCTTCGAGCCAAGAGCGACACTTGATTTTGATTTATTGACTAAATAGTGGAGCCATAATAGTTGTTCAAGAACGTAGGTTTCTGTTTTCTCTTTATCAGCATGGTGGAGTGTCTCGATCCGGATCACATCAGCTGGCCCAGCTGAAGGCTTCTTGTTGAGCTCAGAACTTTGTTAAAAAGAAAAAAATCAGTATCTCCTCATCTATGGCATATTTGCTGGTTTCTAATCAAGAGAATAAGGGGAAACCTATAGTTACTCACCCTGTGTTTGCCCATTCCCCAACCCAATCAAAACCATGATGGGTTCTGTGCAAGTGCAATGAAAGAACAAAGATGGTTAGAACGGTTAACAAATCAAAATGGTCAACAAATTTAAAACAAACTTAAAGAAAATAATGCAAGCTTCTTATTTGTGAAATACATTATCATTTTGGATCATGAGAAAACAAAGGTTAACCATCTTACTTGGCGGTGTTAGTGGCTAGTGCAACAAGCCAATGCAACGTCTTCTCCATCTCTTCTTTGACTTCTTTAACAGTAAGCTGTAGTATTCCAGATGAACCGATAAGATGGTAAACAAACATAAAAGGATTACTGACAAGAAAGCACTGCTTGGTTAGCAAGAAATAAAAAGAAAACACCCATCGCTTTTTATTTTGAACTATTTTTCTGTTTTTAGAAACAAGCTGCATCTTCCCTTCAAAAAAGAAATTGGCAAACCATAGAATACCTCTTCTTTGACATGAAAAGATTGTAATTTTGGGCGTAGAGCTGATTTTATGGAGGGTGGCAAATTCTGGTATAACGTATCCCTTGTATTTGCAGGAATAGAACTTGATCGGGCTACCTGCTGAACATAAGGATAACAGAAGGAAGCCTTGAAAACATAAATCTATAGAAGCAAAATCAAGAAGACTAAATATTTTATTATTCTACTAGATATTTGATTATTCTAAGGCAAACTAAGATAAAACCAGTGCATCATAAATAATAGGTAAACGAAAATCTGATTAAACTTCTAATGTAATCCCGTTGATACCCAAGTCAAGCAGCGAATTAGCCCAACTTTGAAGAACCATTCAAGCGACTCAAGATAAAAAGCAAGCAAAAGACCAAGCTCTTAACTTATTTTTGTTAAATTTTATGCATTGTTTTATTTACTAAAACTTAGATTAGGAGAACTATTCAATAGGTCACTTAGGATGAGAAAGCTTTACCATACACATTTTTTATCCTTGTGCAATAGCAGGAAAGCACGCACACATGCATGCACATTTTCACGTGTATACATAGCTATGTAAACATAAACATGCATGTTTGTATGTAGCTATGTAAACATACACATGCATGTTTGTATCTCTCTAACAGCTTAGACAATCTTTCGCCCATAATTTTCCTTTTAACTGTGGTTTGTCTAATTAAGTTATAGATAATATTAGAATGCATGACATGTCATATATAGCATACGCATTGGGAATAGAAAAATTTATGCTGTTAATAACCTTAAAAGTTTGTGCCCCATGCTCATTTTCAACAAAATTTGAAATATAAAAACAAAAGAACTATGGAAAAATCAATGCCAAATAGGAATACATGCAAGAGAAAAATCAGAGGAAAGTTAAATACAAACTCACAAGAGTATCGATTTGCATAATTATATTTGCATAGTGCAAAGCAAGGCCTGCAGGTCCCAATCTTTGACGAGTGCTCACAGATCCTTCGGCTGATATTTGATACTCTATAAAAGTCCAATGAAGGAAAAAAAAATCATTGAAACATCTATATTTATATTTAATCCATGAACAGTGTATTGCTCAAGACACAAAATAGGCACTTGCTCAAGTGAAATTTTAGACAGTAAATAAATATAGGAAGAAGAAAATCATATGCATCATGTCTCGTAAGTATGTAAATTCGTTAACAAAAAATTAATATTAAACGGTTTACTCCATTACATGGCCTAATCTGTTCCCGAGACCAAGCATCATCTTAACTACTAAGTGGATGTTTCCCGTGATATAGCAAGTATTGTTATTCAGAACAGTTAAACATTAAAAACAGTATACATCATTACATGAACAATTAAAAGTTGAACAATTCACTACATGGCCCAACTGTTCCACATCCATTTAACTATAGGGTTTCCTTTGACCTATTACCAATTGCTTTTAGGTTGAATGCTTAACAGTAACAACTTTTTAAAATGAGTGAGAAAGGTAGAGAGAGAAAGAGAGCGAGTGCTTTTGGTCGTTCATCCACCGGTGAGGAATGGACTGTTTTTGTTGATAATCTTAGTAAGAGAGTTAATAGAAGTGAGTTAAGAGAGATTTTCAACCATTATGGAAGAATATTGAGGGTCTTTATTCCAAATTTTATGGTTAAACCAAATTATAAGTCATCCACGTTTGCTTTTGTGCAATTTGCGAAGGAGGAAGGTTGCAGAAGAGCAGTTCAGAATGTCAACGGAACGCTCATTGACGGGATGAGAGTCTCAGTGGGGGTTGCAAAGTACATGAGGGGCAGGAGAAGAGAAGCAGAGGTTCAAAGAAATCAGTTGGAAGGAATTAAGCTAGATAGAGAGGCTTTTGGTAGACAGCAGGCTGAGCTGGAGAAGCCGAGAAGCTTGAGAGATGACAGATAGTATAAGGAGGTCGTGAATGTGGCTAACAGTAGGAGTATGAATCCAGAACGATTGGTGATTAGGGGAGGTCAGAAGAATGCAAATGGAATAAGAAATGTATGGATATGCACATCCCATCAGATGATTTTTGCTGGGTGAAAAACTCCTTAACAAGGGTTATCAAAGATCCATTTCAGCCTGATATGGTGATGAGAGCTTTTGAAAAGGAGGGTTTCCAGGTTAAGATAGTAAGTTGGGTTATGTCAGGAACGCCAGTATTATTACGTTCAATACAAATGAAGAGTTTTTAAAGGCATGGTTGAGTCTTCGTGAGAAACTCTATTGCTGGTTTGATTGGGTAGATCCATTGTTGAGTGAAGATGGAGTTCCTTTGGCTTATTGCTTGGTCGAACTGGTTGGTTTACCGCTTCTTAGTTGGAGTGTACTGGAAAAGCTTGGCAGTAAGTGGGGAAAGTTGTTAGCATCCTGGAGGAAACTAGAAATAGAGATGACTTCTCTTCGGCCAAAATGCTGTTGAGGGTTGCAAGCCCTTTTGACGTACAAGAATTGTTATTGTAGGATCTTATGGCAGATCCTTTAAAGTTAAAATTAATGTGGGTTCCAGCTCTAAACCTATCTCTGAAGCTTATGGAGACGTAAGGCAGAATTTTTCATATGGCAGTTGCAATGGTGATGTTTCAATGGGGGATGATGGTAGAAACACAGAGAATGAAGAAGACATTAGAGAGAACTCAGCAGAAGGTTTTCGGTCAAAGGTTGACACGTGGCTTCAGAATAGTCAAGAAAGGAGGATGTCAAAAGAAGGTGGGGAACTTTATCTGAAAAAGAAGTCTGACACTCTGCCCAATAATAATGGGGTGTCAGACAAATTTGAATTTGAATTAAATCCTTGTGGGGATTATGCGGGCCTTGGGCTGCGAGAGGTTGTGGATCAGAGTCTTCCAACCCATTCGGATTCTAATTGGGAGTCTTATTCTCCTGTTACTAAAATTATCCCAGCAGGCCCTGCTGTAAAGTTAAAATGGAACAGGCCAGGAAATCAAAAAAAGGTTCAGACTCAGTCCGAATTACAAGGGCAACATACAGTTTCAGTAAGGGATGAAGTTCCAGTTAAAATAGAGCTGTTCTAAAGAAGGTGAAAATGGCTAAGGATGTTAATCAAGTGGGCCTTAATGCGTGTAGCACTTTTTTCTTGTGAGAGGGGAAGAAATTCAGTAATTCACAATGGGTGTGCAGAAATTAAAAAGAGTCAGAATCGTTGGAAACTGGGTTTTCCAGTTTCAGCTGGTTTATCAATTAAAAATATTGGTGGGAAGAGGAGCAGCGGTCGCTTTTCAAGAGTCTACAGAAGATCAAGAGGTAGAAGAATTTGACTAAGCTCGAGGAAGGAGGATTTTAAAAGTGGCTGTCAGGTTTTTATGAATAAATATCAAAATGCTCCTGAAGGTTTTATTCAACCGGTTTCTTCCGAAAATAGGGGATCTGAACAGGATGTTGATGTCTCTTGTTCTGTTGTTAAGCAGAATACAATGTTGGTTCCATTATTTTAATAATCATTTTGAGGATCGGTCATCAACCCTACTTTTGCTTCACAGATTTGCAGGAATTTCAGGAGGGAAAAAAGAATTTAACAAGGGAAGCTGTGAACCTAGTTAATATGTTAACTGTCTTTTCCCCTCAGTTTTCGAAATTGGTGGAGGAAGCCATGGTAACTTGGGAAGTCTGTCAGTTGCTAGGTATTTCCTTCAAGGGAGGGAAGAATACTTTCATTGAAAAAATTATTAGTCTTGATAATGGCTCAGAGACTGTTAGGAATGATTGACTTCTCAGGGCTGGTTGATTTCTAGGGGAAGATCAAGGGAGGTTTTTTCTTTTTATATGATGATGTTAAAGTTATCTATTGTGACTTGGAATGTTAGAGGGTTGGGTAGAAAAGATAAGCAAAGGGCTGTGCAGAGATTACTGTATCATCACTGCCCTTATTTTTTGTGGTTACAGGAAACTAAATTGGAGAAAATTCAAAATCTATTTCTAGAAGGTGTGGTTTAAACAACTTGCAGGGGTGTATTGAGTCTCCTTCGGTTGGTGCTTCAGGGGGTTTACTAAGTTGTTGGAATGACAATATTTTTGAGTTGGATAATCAATTTGTTTCCAGTAGATTTATAGCTATTTCTGGGAGGTTTCGTGCAAATAATTTCAGATGTAGGTTCATCAATGTATATGGTCTGTCTGTTGAGGAGGAGAAAGGAGGCTTCTTTGAAGAATTAGGCATGTTCATTGGAGGTTACAGTGATCCTATTTGTGTTGGAGGGGACCTAAATGTTTATCTTCATGAGGACGAGAAGATGGGTAGGGCCCAAAATATGAATTCAGTAGATATTTTCAGTCATTTTCTGCTGAACACAGGTTTAATTGATCTGCCATTGAGTGGGGGTCGATATACTTGGTGTAATAACCAAGATTCACCAACCTATGTTAGACTGGACAGATTTTTGGTTGATAGCCAGTTCTTAGCCGAATTTCCAGATTTAACTCAATCTCTTTTGCCCAGGTCTGTGTCTGACCATAATGCAATAATTATTGAAAATGGTGGGGATAATTGGGGAAAGAAACCTTTTAAACTTTTTAATTATCTGATGGATGAAGTCGGATTCGAGGATGTGATCAGCTTATCAATTCAAGATTGTAAGAAAAACCAGAGGAATGCTGGAATTTTCAGCATACTGAAGAATACAAAAATGGCAATAAAAAATTGGGCAGGGAGGAGAGACAAGTTTCCAGGGGATTTGATTTCTGATCTTGAATCAAAAATTCAAAAACTAGAGGTGGATATTCATCAGGGTCTAATTGATTATAGTTCTGAGATAGCACTTGAGTTGAAGAAATCAAGAGCAGAACTGTGTAGACTGTATAAGATAGAGGAGCAGATTTGGTTCCAGAACTCAAGATCGAAGTGGGTAGAAGATGGCGACAGAAACACAAGATATTTTCATACATGTGCTTCAGTTAGGAGGAAAAGAAATGCATTGAATGCTATTCTTGTCAATGGAAATTTTGTTCATGAACCGAATGTTATTAAATCAACAGTCAGAGATCATTTTTTCAAGGCTTTCAATGATCAGTTATTCTTCAAGTGGAAGACATTGGGTTGGATTTTTCTAGTATTACACTCGAACAGAGTTTGAGATTAGAGAAAGAATTTACCGAGGAGGAAATTTGGGAGTCTATTGAGTCTTGTAATGGGAATAAAGCTCCTGGGCCAGACGGTCTAAATATGGGATTTTTTAAAAGATTCTGGAATATGCTTAAGGGAGATGTTATGCAATTTTTCAATAATTTCTATTTGGGAAAAGAGTGGGAACACGATATTAATCATACATTTATTACTCTTATCACTAAGGTTTCTAATAGTGGCGATCTTGATAACTTTAGACCTATTAGCTTAGTTGGTGGATTATATAAGATCCTCTTCGAGGAGGTTGAGGAGCTGTATTTCAGATTTAATCAGTCCCACACAATTCGCTTTTATTCCAGGCCGTCAAATATTAGATTGCTCGTTAATTGCCAATGAATGAATTGATTTTTTGAGGAAAAGTGGACTAAAAGGCTGTGTTTTCAAAGCTGATTTCAAGAAAGCTTATGATTCGGTGGATTGGAGTATTCTATTTTTAGTTATGGAGAAAATGGGTTTTGGTTCAAGGTGGAGAGGCTGGATCAAAAAATGTGTTTCAACAGCTTCAGTATCTGTTCTGGTTAATGGAGTCCCTAATGAGGAAATTCCTATGGCAAAGGGTCTTAGGCAGGGATGCCCTTTATCCCCTCTGCTATTTAATTTGATTGGTGAACTCCTTAATTTACTGATTTTAAAGGCTGTTTCACAGGGGCTGTTTTCTGGATTGGTTTTGGGAGGGGAGAGGGTCTTTTAATCTTTCTCACTTACAGCTTGCGGATGATCTCATTATCTTTAGTGGTGCTTCGAAAATGCAAATTCTAAATGTAAAAAGGGTGCTTCGTGTATTCCAAGTTATTTCGGGTTTACAGCTCAATTTGAGGAAATGCAAGCTTTTGTGTGAATTTGAATGATGAGGAGGTGAATGAGTGGGCTAATACTATTGGTTGTTATGTTGGAAGCTTTCCTTCTGAATATCTAGGGTTTCCTTTGGGGGCTTCTAGAAATTCTGTTGCTATCTGGAATCCTGTAATCAGTAATTTTTCCAAAAAATTAACAGGATGGAAGGTTGCCTCTCTTTCTTTAGCAGGGAGACTGGCCTTGCTTAAGTCGTACTATGTTCGCTTCCTATTTATTATTTATCTCTTTTTAAGATACCAGTTTCGGTTCTTAAAACCTTGAATTCACTGATGTCAAATTTCCTATGGGTGGGGGTGTTGAAAAAAGTAAGATCCATTGGGTTAGCTAGCCAATGTATGCAAACCAAGGATGGAGGGGGGTTTGGGTGTGCTGAATCTAAATTTGATGAATAGAACACTTCTAGAAAAATGGACTTGGAGGTTTGCAAATGAAAGGGGGTCTGTCTGGAGGGATCTTATTTGTTCTAAATAATTTGGACCCTTCTTTGTTATTGTTTGATAGTAAGACTCCAAACAGAGTATCTTGGATTTGGAGATCAGTGGTTAATAACCACTTTAAAGAAGACCCTATCAGCTCAAAGTTAAGAAGTTTGTATTCTTTTTTAGTTGGAGATGGTAAATTTATTCGATTCTGGCAGGACACTTGGGCTTTGGATTATCCACTTATTAATTTTCCTATATTGTTTTCCATTTCGATTAACAAAACAGGCAAATTATTTGAGTTTGAGGAGTATATCTCTTTCGACTGGATTTGGGATTTGCAGTTTCGCAGGAATTTAAATGACTGGGAGATAGAGCAGTGGGCTAATTTGATGACTATCATCTCGGCTTTTGCTTTAAATTTGGATAATTCAGATGGGATGATTTGGAAAGGGTTTGGGGATGGGGTGTTCACTGTGAAATCTGCTGTCAATCTATGCTCATCAGGTTCTTTATGTTCGGATGAGGCCTACTTCTGGAGTAAGATTGTTTGGAGGGGTCAGCTGCCACCAAAAGTGGAGTCCTTTTTGTGGAAGGTTGTTCTAGGGAGGTTGGTTGTTAAAACAGAACTGGTAAAAAGAGGAATAGAAGGAATTTAGAATTTGTTATGCCCTCTTTGCATGATGTAGGAAGAGTCTCCTTCATATTTGTTTTTTTCGTGTTCGGTGGAGTGGGTTGTTTGGAATAAATTTCTCAACTTTTGGAAGATTCAAACTGTTTTTCATTATAATGCTAAAAGTTTTCTCTTGAATTGGGATGCGTTGAAGACTAATTCTCCGATTTGGTCTCTCATTCCAAGGGTAGTTATTTGGACTACTTGGAAATTGAGGAACTCAATTGTTTTTGAAGGAAGGAAGTTGGATGAGGTTGAATTCTTCTTCTTAGCAAGGTTTAGGCTTGCTTCATGGTTCTTAGAGAAGAATAAAGTGGTGTATATTCTTAAAGACTCTCATTTTAGACCCCTCCTTAGGGGACATTTGTTCCACCATTCTAATACGATTGTGTCTACTATTCCGTGGCATCCTCCTCCTATGGGTTTTGAAAATTAATGTTGATGCAACTACGACTAAGGATTAGAAGAAAAGTGGTTTAGGAGGAGTTTTAAAAGATTCCTCTGGAACTACATTAGGGTCTTTCAAGGAGCCTGCAGGTCCGGGGCCTCCAACATTTATGGAGTTAAAAGCTATTCAAAAAGGGCTAATGTTCTATGCTTATTTTCGAACGAGGATCAAAGACAGGTTGATTATTGAAAGTGATAAGATGGCAGTGGATGGGTTAAGGGGGCTGAATTATGTCCTCATGTTTATGCTTATTTGGTTACAGACATTGTTTACTGGCTTAATACGTTCGATGGTGTGGTTAGATGGGTAAGCATGATAGCCAACTTAGAGGCTGATGCCTTAGCTAAAGAAGGAATTGGTTGATTAAATGTTGATGTTTATGGGTCACAAGGTTGCCTTGTGTTGACCTGTCTGTTTACTTTACTTTTAGGGTTGTATTTTGTATTTATTGTTTTGTTCAATAATATCCTAAGGCACTCTTTTTCTCCTTCGCTGATTAAGGAGCTTATCAACAAACACTTTCAATCAAGAAGGAGGTTTTAATGAGGCCTGAAATTCTTATAAAAAAATGCTTAACAGTAACATGTCATAAAAAATTCCAAGTTCCGTTCACTTCCTTCTTTACAGAGAGTTGTGCAACAAGTACGTTACTCAACTTTTTATACATGAAATAAACAGATTTTTAGTTGGGCATGCTCTTTGGGAACCTATTTCCTTGAAAGAAAGATGTGCTATGCACAAAAGATAGCACCTGACTAAGGTGCTTTGCTTGATTTGCACTGCAATATGTAGCCTTGACAACACTGAACTATTAGTATCAATCATGCTCCTGCATGACTTAAATATTTGATATTTGAAAATAGGAATATTAATTGAATGAGCACATACCATTACTACCAAAGGCATAGTGGATCTCCAAGATCAAGTAATGAACAATATCCACAAGTTTCTCCATGACCTGCAACCAAAATTATAGGTTGAACAAGTAGCAACATCACATTTTGCTCGGCATTTAACATTTCATGAAACTAACTTATTAGCCAATAGTGTTTTCTACTTTCTAATAGGAAAAGTATTAGTTAAAGAGAGAAGGATATTTGCGAAAAGTGTCATAATGAGAAAATAAAGGTTAATGAAAAAATAATCTGCAATACCTCTTCCAAACTTCTGGACCAAAGTGACTTTTTCTTTAAATTCCTCACGTGCTTTCTTTGGCCTTTTAGATCAGCCCTCAAGATAGCGAGGCTATCACCTGCATATTAAAGAAATATGATACAAACTGGATATTTATAGTTTGCAGAGAAATAGATCCAATCCTATTCAGCTTCTCCCAAATTCTACACGACTTTTATTATGCATTTATTTTGGGCGGAAGGGATGAATATAGGTGAAAATAAAGACATAAAAGGAGATATAAGAATGCAAAAGTTAAATGCGGCATTGAAAATAACATTACCATTAATTAGGAAAAAAATCAAAACAACCTAAGAATAAAGTAGTTCATAAAATCAATTAAAAGAAATATACACCATTCTCCATCTCTAATGCAAGCCTTGAACCTGGCATTAATATGCAATTCTAAAGAAATGAAACATGTAGATTAATTATTCTTGCTAGAGAAAAAATCCAAATACAAAGTTCAATATATTCCTACAAACAAGTTAGAGATCACTATTTCATTCATCTTTCTCAACTTTTCCTCATATTTCTTATGTCATTCTCACACTTGAGAAGTCACGACAACAAAGGAAGCTAGCTTTTAGGGAAAAAAAAGAGCAAAGAAAATCATGATTGACCCACCTACTTCAACTGACACGTAGCTTTTTTCAATCTGTCCAAGAACCAAGATCGTGATTTGTGTCGCATGATCACATCAGTAGGAACTCCTTATTTCTGATAAGTCTATCTAAAAGACAAACATTCTCTTAGCTTGTTCTCAATTTATGAATGGATATCTTTTTAATTGCCTTTCCGCATCATTGTTATGCCACTTCTCGCATCTCACAAGTCCCACAACAAAGGAATCTAGCTTGGAGGGGATAGGAAAGAGCAAAAACCAGGGTTAACCCACCTTAACTTGTAGTGACATGTAGCCTTTGGCAACCATGTCTAAGATTCTGCCACATCAATAAGGTAACTCCTTTATTTTTGACAACTCCTATCTAAAGACTAAAATACCAGTCTCTATGCTTGTTCTCAATTTTTTTTTGATAGGAATTGAGGCCTCATTAAAAACCCCCTTCATGATTTAAGGAACTCATATTGAATTCCTAAATTGGAGGAAGGAGGAAAAGAGTTCCTTAAACTTTATTAATATAGATACATAAGATACAATAATAAGATAAAACCCTTACAAACAACCTAAAAACCCAAAATAAGATATCCCAACAACAAAGAAAAATTAACCAATACCATACTTAGCCAACCCATCAGCCTCAATATTGGTTGTCCTAGCCACCCATCTAATAACTCCCTCGACTTCTTTGAGTTTAACAGCTACCTCCCTAACAATGGAGGCATAGACAACAGGACAACAAGATCCATCCTTAATCCAATCCACTACCATTTTACAATCTGATTCTATAATCAACCGACCCTTAATTCTTCCTCTCACTGAGTGAAAGAAATTTAAACCCTCCTTAACAGAATTTAATTCCATCAGAATAGGTGGACCTGGACCAGAAGTCGTCTTAAAAGAACCTAAAAGTAGACCTTCTTCATCCCTTAGGATGCCTGCAATTCTACTACTCTTTCGGTCAAAACTAGTAGTTGCATCCACATTCAATTTAACAAAGCCCTTAGGAGGGAGGGACCACGGGATGGTAGAGACAATTGATTTGTTTGGAGGGAAACATGAATCCCCAAGGCAAGGGTCATTGATAAGGGAATCCAAAGAAATGACCGAATCTGCAAACTTAGCTAGGAACCAAGATGCAAGCCTTACTCTAGCTAAGAAAAATAAATTAGTTTGATCCAACTTCCCTCTATCGAAGACGATGTCATTTCTAGCTTTCCAAACAGTCCACATAACAACAACCGGAATAAAGTTCCAAATAGTAGAACCGAAATTTAGATCTTCCCAAGCTAGAAGAAAGTTTTGCGCATTTCCATGAAAACTGATACTCCAATACTGCAAAAATTTATTCCACAAAGACCACACGACTAAACAAGAGAGAAATAAGTAAGAAGATGATTCATCCACCAAATTACATAAAGGACATGAAAAATCTACAATATCTGAAACCCCTCTTTTAGCCAGTTCAGTCCTCACTGGTAGTTTTTGAAGGACCACCTGCCACATAAAAGTCTCAATCCTTGGTGGCACCAATCATTTCCACAAAAAATTCTTCCAAAAAGAGTTCGCCTGGGAAACCGAGGAACAAATCTTCACACATGAATTAACAGAATAAACACCATCCCCTTTCCCTTTCCAGATCAGAGCATCGCTGGCATCTTTAGACAAGCAAAAATTAGAAAATGATTGTCATCAGATTAGTCCACTGTTCAAATTCCCAATCAGCCAAATTCCTCCTCAATCGAAAATTCCAAATCCAGCCTAGAGAACTAAACTCGTCGAAATCAATCAATTTACCACTCTGATTTGAAGAGATAGCAAACAACCTTAGGAAAGAGACCTTAAGAGGGCAGTCCATTGCCCATTTATCCTGCCAAAAATAGATAAACTGGCCAAAACCAACTTGAATTATGCACATACTTCGAAATTTTAAGCCAAATGAGTCTTCTTTAAAATGAGAATTAACCACTGAACTCCAAATACAAGAGGATTGAGCTGGTAACTTGCTATTGAACAGTAAAGAGTAGGGATCCAGATTGTATTTTGAACATATCAACCTCCTCCAAACAACATTCCTTTCATTAGCAAACCTCCAAGACCATTTCCCCAGTAAAGCTCTGTTCATATTACTAATATTCAACACTCCCAAACCTCCCTCCTCCTTAGATTTGCACACATTGGACCAGCTGACCCAATGAATCTTGTTTTTATCCGTTCCACCTCCCCATAGGAATTTTGACATAATGGAATTGAGTTTGGAATTAACCGAGGAAGGAATTTTAAACAGAGATAAATAGTAGGTTGGAAGTGAATAGAGAACCGATTTAATCAAGACTAGCCTCCCTGCCAATGAAAGAGTGTTCGATTTCCAACCTGCAAGCTTCTTGTTAAATTGCAAAACCACCGGATCCCAAAGAGAGGAAGAATTCCTAGATGCACCGAGAGGCAAACCTAGATATTTAGAGGGAAAATTCCCAACTGCACAACCAATAGACGAGGCCCACTCCTCAACCTCCTCCACTGCCGTATTAACACCAAATTAATATGCTTTTCTTCAAATTCAATTGAAGGCCAGAAATCAGTTCAAACACTCTTAGGACCCTCTTAACATTTAAAATCGGATTCTTCGAAGCTCCACAAAAAATAATTAAGTCATCTGCAAATTGCAGATGAGATAAATTAAAAGTTGTCTCATTTCTTCCAAATTGCAGTCCAGAAAACAGTCCCTCAGATACTGCTTTTGAAAGCAGTAAGTTTAGAAGTTCCCCAACCAAGTTGAAAAGCATAGGAGATAAAGAGTAGCCCTGACGGAGACCCCTTGCCATAGAGAATTCCTGAGAAGGGACCCCATTAATCAAAACTGAAATTGAGGTTGTTGTTACACATTGTCTGATCCAACTCCTCCATTTGAAGCTAAATCCCATTTTCTCCATAACCGTAAAGAGAATGGACCAATCAACAGTATCATAGGCCTTTCTGAAGTCCACTTTAAACACACATCCTTTAAGCCCTTTCTTCCTCCAAAAGTAAACTCCCTCATTAGCTATAAGAGAGCAATCCAGTATTTGACGACCTGAAATAAATGTAAACTGCGTTGGGCTGATCAAACCAGTAATACAATTCCTTAATCTCCTTGAAAGACATTTAGAAAGGATCTTGTACAATCCTCCTACAAGGCTTATGGGTCTAAAATCATCTAATCCACCAATATTAGACACCTTGGGAATAAGAGTAATGAAAGTATGATTGACTCCATGTTCTCAATCTTTCCTCTTATAGAAATTATGAAACAATTTCAGAATATCTACCTTTAGAATAGACCAAAATCTCTTGAAAAAGCCCATATTTAATCCATCCGGTTCGGGAGCTTTATTGCTATCACACGATTGAAGAGTTTCCCAAATTTCTTCCTCTGTAAATTCTCTTTCCAAAAACACACTTTGCTCCCCAGAAATTCTGGAAAAATTCAGCTTCAAATCTTTAACTTCCAAGGTAGACTTAGAATTATAGATTCCAAAAAAATGGTCCTTAACAGTAGCTTTGATGATAGCTGGATCTTGAATAACCTCTCCATTGATATTTAGAACAATCAAAAAATTCCTCCTTCTCCTGACTGAAGCACATGCATGGAAAAATCTTGTATTACGATCCCCTGCTTGCACCCATTTTGATCTCGAATTTTGAAACCAAATCTGTTCTTCAATTTTATAAAGCTTCCATAATTATGTTCTCATAGTCCTCAATTTTGCAGTTTTTTCACAGCCATTATAGTCTTGCATTTCCTGGAAATTATCCTCTGCTAAGTGGACATTCCTTTCTAATTCTGCAATTTCTACAACTGGGTATTAATCTCTATTCCCTTCCCATTCCTTGATCGCCAATTTGGTATATTTCAAGATAGAAAAAATTCCAGCTCTGTTTTGTTTACTCTTGCAGTTCTGTACAGCAGAGCCAACTAAATTCTGAAAACCTTCTTCATCCATCAAATAACTAAATAACCTGAATGGTTTTTTACCCCAACTAACACCACCATTCTCAAGAAAAATGGCATTGTGATCTGATATAGCATTAGGTAACAAATATTGTATAGTCTCAGGAAAGGCTTCCAAGAAACGGACATCAACAAGGAACCTGTCCAGTCTAACAAAGGTGGGTATATCCTGATTGCTACACCATGTGAACCTACCCCCATGCAGAGGTAAATCAATTAACCTTGTCTGTTGGATAAAATGACTGAAAATTCTAATTTAATTTCTTTTTTGGGCTCTTCCAATCTTCTCCTCTTCTGAAAGATACACATTGAAATCACCTCCCACACAAAGAGGAATACTCTGACCACAAATAAAACCAGCTAACTCTTCAAAAAAGCAAGCTTTTTCTTCTTCGACAGAAGGACCATAAACATTGATAAAACCACACCTAAATTGTGAAGTTCGAAATTTCCCAAACGTAGCAATGAACTTTCTGTTTATAACATGATTTTCCACTTCAAACATGCTCTCATCCCAACAACTCAATAAACCTCCAGAAGAACCCACTGCTGGAGATTCTGAAAACCCTTGAAGGGTATTCAAGCCACTCATCCTAAAAAATTGCCTCTGAATCTTCTTCATTTTCGTTTCTTGAAGCAAAAGAAAAATAGGGCGTTTCTTTATAACTATATTTTGAACAGATCTTTGTTTTTCCTTTCTTCCCAATCCCCAAACGTTCCATGAAATAATTGCTAATTGGTTACTCATCACAAAAATAAAAAAACCAGACCTGCCAAAGAAAATCGAAGCTCAAACCAGCCTCAAATCATTCTCCAACTTAATATTTTTTTCCAAAAAAGATGACTTCCCTTCCTTGAAAGACACCCCCAGAAGCTTACTGACTTCCCAAGTAGCTAAGGCTTCCTCCAATAGAACTGAAAAAGCTGGCGAAGAAACTGTTGAAATGCTAGCCTGATCCAATGCCTCCCTTATCAATAACCTTTTGGCTCTTTGAATCAATGCAGTGGAATTGAAATCAGAATCATCACCTCTTGAAAACCACCGTTCACACGTATTACCCAAACTGCTATTAGCAACATGTCTCTCCTCAGTAGACTCCACACAACCCTCCATATTAAAATCTGCTACTGGATTGACTGGCAGAACTGAATTTAGCACCAAGTCCTTACCCTTTAGCTTGTCTAAGGCTTCCTCTTCTGCAGTTAATGGCCAGTGTCTTCTCTCCCTTGATCTCGAATACACCCTTTTATAGCTAACCGTTCTTCTCCTTTCCAACGGCTCACTCCTAGTAGTTAAAGATGAATTAGATCGATGAAGCAATCTTCCCCTAGAAAACATTTTTCCAGCATGTACATTAGAGTCAATCATCTTAGTTGCTGCTGATAACACTCCTTCCCCACTGTGCGACATCAAACTGGAATGAGGTATACCTCCATTATTTGCTTCCTCCATGTTGACAGATTGAACAATAAATTGGTTCCGGTCCATTCTCCCAAAACTATCCAATTTAATAACTGGCCCAGCTGGAATAATTTTAAAGTCTGTAGAACCAGGCTGTCCACTTTCAACTGACTGGGCTTCAGACCCATCAGCCGAAAAAATTAAAAACTCTGCATCCCAAACCGGCATAATCACCTAAATTGTTTCTCCCAAGGTCCTGACAGTCTGATACCTCACAATTAATGCTTTTCCCATCTTTGTTAAGCATTGGGATATGATTTTCCCCACCTGCTCCAACCAAACCCACAAAAGCTCCTTTGTCAAACCATAAGTCTTCCTTTTGTCTGCTGTGTTCTTCTGAATGTTCAGCACTTTCCATACTTTCTGACACACTCCTGTCAGCTTCCTCTCCAGCAAACTTCTCACCAATTTGAAATTCATCGGAACCTCCCACCGGCGCTTTGCTAGAAAAATCTAAATTATACTCAAGCACCGAACCCCGCTTAATCTTCACTATATAAGATCTTCCATAGGCTCCAAGTGTTAACACCTCAGGGACATCATATGGGCTCGCCACCCTGATCAAAATCTTCGTCGTGGAGAGGTATTCTCTGTTTTTAGTTTCTTCATGAATATCTTCCACCATTCCCTACCTCCCTGCTAAACGTTCCAAGACATATAACACAAAGCTCCGTCATTTGTTGATGGATTAAGCAAGAGTTTCAATTACAATATTGGTTTTCATATTTTGGATGTATGGACAATTTAATAAACTCCATTCGTCCATGAGCTTTGATTTCTCTTTTCCTTTAAGGAACTCTACTGAACCATAGCCGATTCATATTTCTCCTAAATATTGTAGGCATTGATGATAATTTCGTTAGCAACCTCATAAATGATCCTGGCCTTAACATTGCAGGTTTCAGAGGTCAGTTCCCGTTTAGGCAAAGCTGGATCAGTTGGAATAGGAAAAGCAGTGGAGGTATTGGATACTCTAGGGGAGTAGCATGACAAGTTTAAATCCTAAGCCGGATTTACTTCTGGAGTAGCAACTAAAGGCAATGAACTTTCAATATTAGCCTTTGAGGTTGCTAATACGATTGTTAAGGGTTCAAATCTTATGCAATCCCTTTCTAGAAGAAACATAAGACATTTAAAAGAGGTGGTGCTGGCCACCAATGGTGTTCAAAATTTAGTATCTAAAGATATGGATGAACTCTTACGGATTGTTGCAGCTGACAAAAGGTATAATGTTATCAACTACCCATGATAATACTTTCAACTAATCTTTTTGCTTTTTTGTGTCTATACTTGTAGTTTTTAGTTTGTTTAAGAAGTATCTTCTTAAGAACCTAAGAACTCATGCTTAATTTTGTTGTTAAGAATCTGTTTAATTCAATATTTGCAGGGAAGAATTGAAAAATTTTTCGGGAGAAGTAATTCGTTTTGGAAACCGTTCAAAGGATCGTCAATGGCATAGCTTGGAACGTTAATTTGAGAAGTATGCACGTTATATATAGTTCAGTGAATATTGTTTACAATATGCTAATGTGCTTTGTTTTGAGTGATGCATTTGTTTTACATTTTCCAGAATCAGCAGAGAACTTTCGCCTCAGAAACAATTGAAGGAAGAAGCAGAATTAGTGATTGAGCAGTTGATGACTTCAGTTCAATATACAGCTGTAAGTTTATGCTTCACATGTCACTGAGTATTAATATAGTATGTATGGATTTATATTTCTATTTAGTTTTTTGTTTTTCTTTTATATTCAAAGAGTTCAAACTATAATATTCCTGTAAGGAATTGAGTTTCCATGGGAACTTCAAAAGCCGACTTTCAAACAACTGCAAAAAAAAAAACCTATGACCTAATATGACAAAAGCACTGAAACATATTTAAATGATTCTGTTTACAGAATTTGGAATTTGCCAAAAATACAACTCTTAATTGCTGAAAAACTCAAACAAATAAAATGCTCCATTCCCTAGGGGTTCACAAGCAAATTGAAAAAGAAAAAGAGACCAAATGATGATCATTTTAACTTATTATATATTAATAAGCTCAACATTAAATAATGTCCTTATTTTAGGTTCTCCGTTGTGTTTAATCTTTTATTTCCTTAATTAAGATCTGCATTACATGTTTAGCTGTTAACAATGGTGTACTAGGAGGCAACATATCATAGGCACTTTTTGTTTAATGCTCTTCGTGCATTGTATTATTGTTTTCGACTTCAATATTTAAATATATTGGAAACTATAAGGAGAATAAACAGAATTGCTTTTTTGCACTGCAGGAACAATACCAAGAATTGCAGATTCTGGACAAGTTTGAGCAAGATTACTTGCGTAAGCGTCAAGAGGAAGATAATTCTGCTGGCACTCAGAAAGGTGACTTCTACATCTCCTTTGGATGCTTGTATATAATTTCTTTTAAGTCGCCCTTGATTTGAGATGTTGCTTTAGTTGTAACCAAAGCTATTGGCGATCAAGAAGTATTGTGGTCTGAATTTAGGTTCAATTATTTGCAAGACCTCATAATCAAGTTATTCATAGAATTAGAAAATAATCAAATATGAATAATGTAAAATAGTGTTATATGGATAGTATTGATCATAAGAACTTCCTTGTTGGAGATTTTTGTAAAATGACAATGGAAGATGATATGCCTTGCGTAATTGTCCATTTGATGAATGCTGCTGAAATAAACATGTTGAAAGGAGTTTGTGGTTATACAAGAAAAGTCAATTAAAAGATACTGTGCATCACTCAAAACAAAGCACATTAGCATATTGTAAACAATATTCACTGAACTATATATAACGTGCATACTTCTCAAAATAACGTTCCAAGCTATGCCATTGACGATCCTTTGAACGGTTTCCAAAACGAATTACTTCTCCCGAAAAAAATTTCAATTCTTCCCTGCAAATATTGAATTAAACAGATTCTTAACAACAAAATTAAGCATGAGTTCTTAGGTTCTTAAGAAGATACTTCTTAAACAAACTAAAAACTACAAGTATAGACACAAAAAAGCAAAAAGATTAGTTGAAAGTATTATCATGGGTAGTTGATAACATTATACCTTTTGTCAGCTGCAACAATCCGTAAGAGTTCATCCATATCTTTAGATACTAAATTTTGAACACCATTGGTGGCCAGCACCACCTCTTTTAAATGTCTTATGTTTCTTCTAGAAAGGGATTGCATAAGATTTGAACCCTTAACAATCGTGTTAGCAACCTCAAAGGCTAATATTGAAAGTTCATTGCCTTTAGTTGCTACTCCAGAAGTAAATCCGGCTTAGGATTTAAACTTGTCATGCTACTCCCTAGATCATCCAATACCTCCACTGCTTTTCCTATTCCAACTGATCCAGCTTTGCCTAAACGGGAACTGACCTCTGAAACCTGCAATGTTAAGGGCAGGATCATTTATGAGGTTGCTAACGAAATTATCATCAATGCCTACAATATTTAGGAGAAATATGAATCGGCTATGGCTCAGTAGAGTTCCTTAAAGGAAAAGAGAAATCAAAGCTCATGGACGAATGGAGTTTATTAAATTGTCCATACATCCAAAATATGAAAACCAATATTGTAATTGAAACTCTTGCTTAATCCATCAACAAATGACGGAGCTTTGTGTACAAATTTCAATTAAAATTTTAAATGACATTTATCCACTCATATATTTATATTGATTTCCATATTTAGTTTTCATTCAACTAGATTCTGTCAGAAATGGAAACCTCACCTAAGGAATCAACAACCTAAGTATGGTGGCAGCCGAAGCTTGAGTTAATTTAAAATGAAGTTAAAAGGAGAAATTTATAAAAGGGGAGAAGAATTTGAAGATTACCTTGGCCACAGCAGCCTGGGTGGACCTAACTGATTTAGATTTCTGGGACATGTCCCTTGCAAAACGGGGAATCCCATCGTAGAAATCATCAGCAGATTCTTCGATTCTCTTATCCGTGATTTCACTCACTTGGGTTGGATTCATCAAGACATTTACAGGAATATCCTTGATCTGATAATGGTTGAGATTACCACCGCCATAGCCATTTCCAACCCCATCATCTTTGACGCCGCTCCTCGAACAAATCCCGCCCATTGTTCAGCCTCTCCTGATTAGTATTATTACTATTCCACTCCAACATCAAAATTATACCCAAAAAAGAATTAAAAAGAAAAGAAAGAAAGAGAGAGCTGAAGGTGTTATCTTACCAGCAAAGAAGAAGCTGTTTCAAAGAAAGAAGTGAAAGTCCACCCAATGCCATCCGGCGTCGAGTATTTAATGTATTTTATACTTTAAAATAATAGAAGCGAATATTCTAATATTTCTCTTTCTCCACTGTTTGTACATCAACGCAAGGCAAGCAGGTGGCAGGTTGGAGTTGGACAAGGCAGAACGTAAATTGGGAGAATTGGTCAAAATGCCAAACTCTCTCACTCTTCTTCTTCCAATCTTTTTCTACGCTGACTCGCTGTCGCCGTTTTGTTACAAGTAGACGGACTTTTCGTAATTGGGTAAACTACATACATGATCATTAATGCTTGATTAAGTTTTTGTTTCTCCACTTAAGTTTTAAAAATAATAAATTGATCATCAACATTATTAATTTATGACAAATTAATAACTAAAGATATCGATTTATAATAAATCGGTTAGTCAACATTAACAATTGTTAACATGGGTGACCAAATGTTTAGCTGCCCCATTAACTTTTTACCTAGATTGTTGACCGCCACATTGGAGAACATGTATTTAACAATCAGCTATTCTTTAAATAAAAACTCAAATCTTTAAACCTCATTTATCCTATTTTCATTCATCATTTTATTTAAAATTTCTCACAAAATTTGTAAGAAAAAACCAGCTAAGGTGAAATGGAATATCCACTCTGCAACTGTTGGTGTATATATCTATGGCTTTTGCTTGATCTATTGCTTTGACTATTCAAAGCACGTATCGCTATGGAGAGTTGGAGACAAGAGATTGTCCAGAAGATTTCTGATGCCCCATATCCAGGGAAATCATGAAGCAGCTGGTCACCATCGTCATCGGAGTATCATACGAGCGCAAGAACATTGACAAAGGGTTCAACATCTACAACAAAAGAACCTGTCGCGCCACCATGCAACCTCTCCACAATTTTGATAGCATCCTTGATTCTACTCCTTTCAAAGAAATTTCCTTGAAGGAAATTCGGGCAATAGTTGAATCAGGTGATGATATGAGGTCCGATTTCATTTTATTTCCACCACCCCATTGCTCTGCTGTTGCGATCTCTCTGTCACATTTCTTCTTCAAAGGTAAAATGATGATAACAGAGTTGCTTACCAAAGCGAGCTTGCACACATCCTGATACATTGTTATTTTTACCGTCGAAGCGGAGAAAAATTGGAGGTCTACGCAGTCTTCTCTCCCTTCTTGATGCAAGATTAAAGCATTGTGGATCCTTTCACAGTCAGGGTACCTACTGGCGAGCTCTCCAAATTCATGTTTTTGGTGGTATATAAACAAAGGATTACCATGACCGATGAAGTCCATGTGGTGAAAGACGTGAACAGAGAATGGACTTTGAACAGTGGGATAAAAGACTTGAAGAAGGTTAACAATGCTTGGCAAATGCTCTTTGTCCTTGATGCACACTAATCAATTCAATAAGTTCGGGAACTTACAAGATTGAATGACACAGCAGTAGCTTCTTCAATGTCATTTTCATTCAAAATGCTAGCTTCTACAGGTTCCATCAACTCTTTCCATTTTTGTTCCGTCTAAAATCAATATGTTATTGCTGGGTGACCACAGTTACAAAGTGGAACATTTTAGCTTAGCTGGGTTTTTCTTAAGAGGTTTTCTAAGAAAGTTTAAATAAAAGAGACGATGATTTGAAATATGGTAATTTAGGTTTAGGGATTGAGTTTTTATTTTGGAGAAATTGTGATGTTAAACACATATGGCTCTCTAATGTGGCAGTCTACAGTCCAGATAAGAAGTTTTTTGTCACCCATGTTCACGTTGTTAAAATTGAGTGACCAATTTGTTACAAATCGATTATGTTAGTGACCAATCTATTACAAATCGATAATGTTAGTGATCAATTTGTTTCAAATCGATAACATTAATGATTGATTTGTTATTATTGAAACTTCAATGGGAAAAACGAAAATTTACTCAAACATTAGTGACCATTTGTGTAGTTTACCCTTCATAATTTATGGGATTAATTGATTTATTTTATTTTTAATTTTGCGTAAACTATGTATTTAGTCACTCAATTATCACTTTAATCTTGTTTTGGTCACTTAACTAGTTTGTTTTCAAAATTATCACTAATGTTACGTTTTGGTTTCATTTCGATTATTCATCATTAAAATATTAACAGAACTACTGACGTGACATTTTTTTACTGATGTAACATTACTTTATGATGATAGGATTCTCTTCGTTTCTCGGGACCCTATATTATCAAGTGCAAAACATTAAGTGCGACGTTATTGTTAATGTCACTGGTAATTTTTCTGTTGAAGTCTTTTCTATTTCTTTAGATTGTAGAGGTTAACGTTTACAAGTTTTGGACTTCAGAGGAATATGAACTCGAAGTTACCTTCGGCCAATTGAGACGTTTCTCATGGCGTGAAATCCAACTCGCCACCGATGATTTCAAAGAAGGGCAACATAATTGGACAATAAGGGTCTATAGAGTTGTCCTCTCGGACAACACCAAGATTGCAGTTAAACACCTTACGAATTATTATAGTCCCAATGGTGAAGCTGCATTCCAAAGGGAAATCCAACTCATAAGCGTTGTTGTTCACATGAATCTTCTACACAACATCAATTGAAAGAATCATTGTTTATCCCCTTCACACAGAATTTAAGTGTGGCGTATCAACTGATAGGTACTTGTCCTTTATGATATGGATCAACTATCAACTTAAACTTGTGGTAGTCTGTTGGTAATGTTCAAGGGGGTTAGAGCATGTTATCGGGAGGAAATACCCTCGGGAATGATATTTAAAGAATCATTCTTTCTCTCCCTTATTGAATGTGGTGAAACAACTCTTTTGCATGTGTGCGTTGCCATTGCTATCGTTCAGTCCAGTCAATTCGGTTTGTGATCATGGTTGTTGCTTTGACATGTTTGCTTGTGTTCTATTTTTTTTTTTGGAAAAAATCCGGAATAATTTCTTTGAGAATAAATATTTTCATATGTATTTATAGACGAAATTAATTTTTCAAACGTGTTGATTAGATAATATTGCTGTAAATTATGTAGCATTATCTGATCAATTACAGCATAATTCTCGAAATTTTAGCATACTGTTATTTACCTGATTACAGTTTATCTGGACACGTTTTTAGTCACATTCAGCTGGTTTGACTGCAATTGTTAGTTGATTAATTATAGTTGTAACAGTTGATTAATTGTTGATTTATTACAACTGTTATAGGTGAATAATTGCAACTAATTTCCTGTTTAGTGCTGATGAGATGAACCTATAAATACCATACGAATTCAGAGGTTCAAGGCATCTGAAAGTCACAAAGCAAATTGCTCTCTCTAAAAGGCTCTTTTTTCCTATGAGCCTTGTTCTTCTGTTTCCAGTTTCCCAAAAAAACATTTATTTCCTCGTTCTTTTTATTTACGAGAAGGAGAAGAGTAGTATTACCATTTGTCAACTCCGGCTTTCAAGGAGAGACCATACTAATCTCAGGGAATGATTTTTTATTACAGAGATTATACGCATCGATACAAATTTATTTCCAAGGCAACAGTTAATACCACAAGACGGTTTATTGAAATCTTGTTTATTGTTTTTTATTGTCCAGATAGTACTAACGATCAATTTGATTTTGTAGTTTGTATTTCCAACACAGTCATATGCCATTATTTACAACAGTTTACATCTATAATTTTTTATTACCTAAACCTGTAGATAAGGGCTTGGACTGGCCAGCGAGGAAACGTATCGCTTTCGGAGCGGCACATTGTTTAGAGTATCTACATAAGCATTACAATCCAAAGATAATACACAGCGATTTAAAAGCTGCAAACATCTTTTAGCCAAGTTTGTCAATACAAGGTTGATCATGTTACCACTCAAGTACGAGGTATCATGGGTCACATTGCCCCAGAATATTTGTCCACTGAAAAATCTTCTGAAAAGACAGATGTCTTTGGATATGGTATAATGCTTCTGGAGCTTGTTACCGGTTAGCGTTTTATAGATTTTGCTCGTTTAGAAAAGAAAGATGACGTTCTTCTACTTGATCATGTAAGATTTTTATATCGAATGAGAATGTATTTTTGAACTTGTAGCCTCTTTGAGATTTTTTAGACCATGCCGATGTGGTTGTTGCAAGACATGCACGTGGTTCTAATATATGACCTTAGCATTGTGGAAGCTCGAGCGTTTACTGAAAGAATCAAACTAGCGGTTAAAAAAAGATGGTAGTCGGTTGTGGTGGATTACATTGTAATTCGCCAATTTAGTTTGAGATGGATGACAATCTAAGTAATTCCTGCTGATGTAATCGATGAAGCTATTTTCGGCTAATTTATAGAATATGTCCTTCATTTAAAAAAGAAAAATAAGACTGATGGAAATTGGATATTATTAGATTAAGAAGCTACTGCGAGAAAACATCGTTGATGGTAACTAGAAGATATATGATCTGAAAGAAGTAAGGACGATACTACGATTTGCATTGCTTTGCACTCAAAGGTCACCCGAAGACTGCCCAAAAATGGTGGAAATGATGAAAATGCTGGATGGAGTAGGTATGAGCGTGAGATGGGCGGAATGGGAGGAGGTTGAAGAAGGAACCTAGAATTCATGCTTTTCTCTCACCAGTTCACTCAGGGTGAAGATTCAACTGTAGACCAAGAAGCCATACAATTGTCCAGAACCAGGTAATCCACGCACAGGGATGAACAAGGGAGGTATCTTAGACAGTCATTATCATAAAATTTAAAATTATTTATTTTAGATATTTTTTTATTGTCTATTAATAATTATTATCACCTCTAGAATTTTATAAATTCATCTCTCCTAAAATTCTATAAATATACATCTCTAATGTAAAATCATATATTCGTCCCTATCCATCCATGTAATCAATTTTCAGCTTCCTTTCGATGACAATCAGATTTTGTACATTTAGTTTCTACCATGTTTCAAGCTTCAGAAATGGAATGACGATAAATCTAGCAAAGGGCGGTATGAGTAGAGAAGTGTTATTCAAGACGTTGTGGTGATCTAGTCGGCGTATTTGTTCTCTTGATGTATTGATCTATACTAGCAGACATTTGCTTATCGCTGGTCCTATATTAGTTCAGACTGTTTCATTGTTTTGTGGTGCAAAAACCATTAGTAGCCCTATAGTTCGGTGTTTTTCTCATTGTTTAGGTTTCCGACCTGGTTAGTTGTACTCTTTCCTTCACTTAGATTAAGAAGGTTTTTAAAGAGGTTTTCAATTAAGTTTAGGCTTCTATGATTTATTCTTTAATCATATTTGCCGAACAAAAATTAAATGATTGAGGTTAACTTCTTATTTTTTCAATGTATATCTTTATATTTCTTACTTTTAATCTCAGTCATCTATTAAATTAAAAATATACTAATAACATAATTCAGTCATTTTTATTAAAATCATTAAATAAAAATATAATTAATAAATAACGAAAATATAATTATTTAAAGAAATAATTTAAAAATAAAAATTAAACTGTATCAAATTTATTATATCAATAAAATTATTTTTAATTATTTTTTAAAATTTATTCAATAAATAATCACGAATTAAAAAATTATATTAAAGATTTTCTCCCCTTTTCCAACTGAATTTTAAAATCACCCACTAGCGGGGGTATACACCACAGAGCCAATAAAAAAATTACGTAATTGTTTTATCTTTTTAAAGGGAAAAAATCGAAACGACGGTGGAAATGCAGGGGCATAAGGGAATTGAGAAGCGGGGAAGCATTAATAGTGGGACCGACAGCGGTTAAAATATTTGACAGTTCGCGAGGCCACAATGCGATAACCCTTTATCTGTAAGTGCCATTCACCTCCTTACCTTAATTACTGCTATTGCTTTTCTTCAATTCAACAGTAAACGTAGAACCTCTTTCTGGTGTATATTTTTTAGGTAAATTTCTTCCTCCTTTTTTCCGTCATCAATTTCCAGCATAGAGCTCTTTGTCGTAGGTTAGTTTTCAATGTTGAAATCTCTTAACGCCCTCTGTTTTCTTGCATATTAACGAAGTTTCTATCAAATTGCAGTTAATTTTAATGAGTTTGAGGATTGGATACTAACTTTTTAACTTTTTTTCCCGTTTATGTAGATTCGGATTTGAAACCCAGTTGTGGTTAGTTTTCAGAAGAAAACGCCTATTCGTTTGGGGATCAAGGATTCCTGAAGCATGACGTCAAGCACGGAGGGTGAGTTATCTAGCCCTAGCTTTAGATGCAATTCGTCTCTATGGTAAATTATGTTTGCTCTCTGACGTTTTTTAATGATTTCTTTTAATAGATTTATGATAAATTTTGTAATATTTTTAGTTTATTAAGGCTCTGCTTCGTTTTCAATCAATTAAATTACTACAACTCTGACACTATTATTTTCATTATATATTCACGACAAGAAAAAAAATCATTACAATATCTAATACAAAATATGCACTTTACTTTTCGTAAGGATCTAATTATCTATGCCTATTCTAATTATTTGACTTAAAACTGGATTTTTAACAACTAAACCTTTTTTTAGTATGAATATTTTATGTATGCAAATGTTATTTTATTTCATAATGTGAAATTTATTTATTTTTTTGGATATTATTATCATATATAACATTTAAATTTATTATTTCACACTGAATTTGTTTACCTTCAAATCAGACTAAGCTTGGATAGCAAAAAATCTTACTTGTCCAAATATCAATTAGCCTGAAATATTTTATAGCTTATACATTTTTTAAATCTCTAGTAACAATTTTATTTATTTATTACATTAAATCTATATACATATATGTACTTTTTGGCCCCCTTATTAATTCTTTTGGCTTCGTCGGTGAGTAACTTGATTTCTCATTATGTCATACATTGTTGAAAGATTTGGGAAGGAACTCCATGTGCTTAATATAGTCATGATCTTTGAATATATGGAATATATGGGAAGTACAATTGATGATAGGTTGTGCAATGATATTTACTCAAAAGACTAGATTTGTGCTTTCTTTTGTGCTTCACATAGTCACAATCTTTGAATTTATGGGAAGAACAATTGATGATTGGTTGTGCAATGAATATTTCCCCCTAAGACTAGCTTTGTGCTTTCTTATGTGCTTAACATAGTCATGATCTTTGAATTTATGGGAACAACAATTGATGATTGGTTGTGCAATGCATATTTACTCAAACGACTAGCTTTGTGCTTTCATTTTTGCCATTTTTTGCAGTATAATGCTTCCGCCGGAACATATTTGAACTTTTTCAACATTACTTAGCAAACTCTTTAGGCTTGTGAATGAGGAATCTTCTTTTGTAAAGCTTTATTACATTTAGGAACATCCACCAAACAAATCATTTCCATTTTATGCTAATGATATGCTAAAGTTAACATCTATGAAAACCTAAACTTAGCCTTCGATTTACTTGAAATAAGATTTCACACTCACCTTTTTAGCAGGTGCAGAATTTAACTTCATGCTCATGAGGATTATTGATAATTATACAGTTTAGTTATTTTTATACTGCTTTAAATTTTCACCACAGCATTGCTCCTTGAAGCCAAGAACCTTGAGATGCAAGGCTTAGAGAAGCATAAAATTGCTCTGGCTTCTGCTTCTAGTCTTGATGAAATGCTTAATGAGGTTTACAACAGTCGCTCACCAAAACCAATTGATTACGATAATCGAAGAGATTTGGTTCGCATCTTCAATGTCATGGCCAAGGAGATTTATGGTAACCTTTATTCTCAAGGAACATTCTGAAGCCTCTATTTAAAAGAAATTTAAAGGAAAAAGTTGTTTAAACTGTCAGTGAAGCTCATTCTTTCAGAAATATTTTTTCTTTTTCCCTGGATAGAAAGCTCCTTTTAGTTTTGGTGGTACATTTAGTTATATGACCATTTTATATTAATTTTGATCTTTTTCTTTTCCTTTAAGCAATTTCAGGGAAAAAATCAGAAAGCACATCTTAAAGGATCACTTGAATGGAGTCTATATAAATTATTGTACATTATATACATGTGCTAGACGTTATCCTTTTGTGTAGTTCTTGAAGTGCCTATACAAATTATTGTATATTATATGCATGTGCTAAACTTATCCTTTGTGTAGTTCTTCAAATTATCATATGACCTGCTAAGGAATTTTTGTGCTTTTTTAATTTGATAAACAATTTAGTAATGGGTCAAATCTAATGTGGTTGTCCAAGATTATTTTTGCCATGCTTTGACAGTTCTAAGTCCATTCAGCATTTTTGAACATATTAAATAGTTTTTGGTTTCTTTCATCCCTAATTATACTTCCTTTTCTGTTATTTTATATCTTGATGATAATTTACCTTAATCTTTCAGGAAATTGTAATGGTTTTCCAATTGTGGAGGTATTTGGTTCTTTTGTAATGGGCATGTTCAATGCTGAAAGTGATTTAGACTTATCTATCAATTTTACGAATAATGGGGCTAAGGTTTCTAGAGTGAAGAAAATTAAGGCCCTTCGCAAGCTGGAAAGAAAGCTGCATTCCATTAGAAGTAATTTCCCAACACTCATTAGCACTTTAATTCTTTACAGCTGAATAAAGATTTCAAATTTTAGACATATTTTATGTTTTCTCTACCCAAACCTGTTAGTATTATTATGTATAACATGCTGGTAGATAAAATAAAGTCAACCTTATACTGACTTTTGACAACCAAGCACTAAATAGAAACTTAATTTCCTTTTGTGCTTATTTGAGTAATTGATTGCTTAGGTTCTTGCTAAACAATGTCGTAGATGAACTTTTAACCACAAAATAAAATATATCTCTTCATAAAGCTATTCAACTTGAAAAGAAATAATAAGCTAGCATTTCTGCTTTGAGGATTGTTTTTAGGAAGATCTAAAATAGACCTTATTTTCATTCTATTATATTGAGTAAATAATCTGGTTAAAAGACAAAAGAATGTTGTAAGTAGAGATTGTAGATACAGGTGTAATTTTTAATATTGAACAGAAACAACATGTAGTCGTAGTGTTCAAATTGGAATAATAAATGAGTAAGACCTTACAGTAATGGAAGACCACATGAGTAATTAAGAAAAATGTCAATTTCTTTTTTTAGTAAGCACAAAAAATTGCAATAAATGAATGAGATTGTAGACAACAAAGTTCACCAACTTTATATCTTTTTTGTTTTTATCATTAAAAAGAGGATGGATGGGACTAATGTGTTTCCAGCACCTAGACATGTATTTTAATTTTTTTTTTTTTTTGCATAATTACTACATCTGAAACAGTTTTTGCACCTAAACTTATAGAATATCCGAAAGTATGATTGTTTGAGATGCTTATGTTGCTGTAGTTTGTTGCATCTCCTTGGAGCTTGTGTATTCTAAAGTTCAGATCATCATTTTTTTATATGAAAGATTGAAAACTATAGTGTTGCTGCTAGAAAGGAAGAAGAAACATCTGTTTTTTTTTTTTTGATAAGAATTGTAGGCCTCATTAAAAACCCCCTTCTTGATTATAGGAGCTTATAACCAAGCTCCTTAATCAGTGGAAGGAGGAAAAGAGTGCCTTAGAAATTTATTCAACATCTGTATTTTTTTTGTACTGTTTCCATTGTATCATTCATATTGATGAAAGGTTTATTTCCTTATTAATATTCAAAATGGCTATTTCTTTATTAAGGAATTCAAATGCCAGTAACTGACATGCCTCTTTATCATTGATAATTTACACTTACTTGGATGAAAGAAAAATGAGATTTAGTTTATTCTCTCATATTATTGGAGATGACTACAGTTGGTTTAGGGAATTAAAGATGAACATGAAAGAGTTTTACTGACAAGTATGCTTTATTTGTTCTAGGAGGAGGTCATGTTAGTGACATTCAAAAAATCCTCTCTGCTAGGGTGCCAATTGTTAAAGTCCTTGATTGTGGAACTATGATTGAATGTGATGTGTCAGTTGAGAATAGGGATGGTATTGCAAAATCCCTTATTTTTCGTGCAATTTCTACAATCGATGAAAGGTTTCTGAAGCTTAGTTTCTTGGTGAGTGAAGATAGTTCAAACTTTTATCTCCCCCCTTCCTTTACAATTTTCAGCTTCATTTGTGACTCTCTCTTGACTTCGTTAATTTTTCCTGCACTAGCAATTTATTTTAGTGTTTTTTGCTTAAGTTCTTTAAGTTTGTCTATTGCCAAAGTTGCTGCATTATTTGCTGTGACTTGAAGACTGCAACTTTCCTTAAGTTGGGGAGTTAATTTTGTGCAACTCAACTTTCTCACCAAATCTTTTAGGTCCCGCTATCAATCCCCTTACGACATCTGCTACCTGGTATTTTGTTGGCGCATAGTTAAGGGAAATTTGAACTTCCCTTCTCTTTGATGAATATTTATCTATTTCCATGTGTTTGGTTTGATTGTGTTCAAATGGATTATGGGATATTGATATGGTAACCTTATTGTCAAAATATAGCTACATGGGCTCTGCAAAATTTATTTTTGGATCCTTAAACATAATTTTCAGTGCCAATAGTTGAGAAATCCTAATTTCTAGAGATGGTCTCTTCTTCAACACTTGATCTAGCTACCACTTTAATAGTTTTCATGATCCATGAATGCAGCGATTCTTAAAGAACCGATTTCTTTTGTGACTCATTATTTTCACCTCCATTTCCCCACCTTTGTTAATTTGACATCTGTTTTCCCGCCATGCTTATCAAACGTTTCCCACCTTAACTGTTAAATTTAATTTCTCTAGCGTTGCATAATATAGGAATGTTTGCACCCATCACATATAAGTGGAAAATGTATGATGTGTTCTTTTTCCATGTGCAGGTAAAAGCTTGGGCCAAAGATCATGATATTAACAGTTCCAAGGATCAAACTCTGAACTCTTTATCATTAATATTATTAGTTGCTTTTCATGTACAGGTATTCATACTTTTCAGATATGCTCTCATCACAGAATGACATCTTGTTTGGCTGGTGTTAATTTTCATTTTTGGATGTTTATGTTTGAGAGAAAAAAGTGTTACATATAATATTACCTCCGTATCTACTCAAAGAATTGTGAAAATAGCTGAGTAATGCTCTTATTTAAAAATTTTAATTGGAACTTTCGAAATAATCTGTTAGGATTGGCATTTTTTCTATTGCACATCTATGTTCATTTTATAGATTAATTAGTTGCACTGCAACATAGGTTCAAAAGCTTAATTGGTGTCTATTACATGTGATTGAGGCTCCTTTCTTGTTGTAAGATTTATCTTGAGTTGCTAGCTAATGCCAAGCTAAGAATTGACTGATGTCAATTGTCAATATCAGATATCAGATTCCTCCTATTAGGATCGGCAGCCTTCCCTGCCTCCTAGAGGTGGTATTTTCTTTGTCCCTTGTCAATATGGTCCCTAGTGCTTCTAGCTTCTAAAGGGGTGTCCCAAACATCATAATAAAGAATTTATTACAAGTCAAAACCTGAACTAGTAGTCTCCTTTGGTGTTTTTTTTTTTTGATAAAAAAAGGCCTCATTAAAAACCCCCTTCATACCCTACATGTTATAAACATAACATGAAGGGCATAGGAAGAAGGAAGTCTCCTTTGGTGTTTGAATGTTTCTTAAGTAAAACTTGGAAATGTGAAACAAAGATGTCATTATATTGGTCTACGTAAAATTGCAAAAAATGGTATCTTGTGCAGTATATTTTGCAAATAAGTGTTTTCTCTTGAAAATGGTATCTACGTAAAATTGCACTTCCCTTTGTTTTGTTCAATTTTCTTATCCGTTTTTGTTCTTGCAGACTCGGGATCCTCCCATATTACCTACATTTTCTGCTTTATTTAAAGGTGATTACCCTGTAGATTATAGATTTACGAATTAGGTTTATCTTATATTTTTGGTAATGTCGTTCATATCATAGACTAAGTTTTGTCGCTTTCTTGTAAGAGAGTTATTCTGTTTCATCTGAACCGCTCAGCTTTTTTTTTTTGGCTCTCTTGTTTTGCATTTATGCATGGGTTCCACTCGTTTTGTTCTTGAATTAGCAATACTGATCTACCTTCAATAAAAGTAGGGGACTTTACTGGCTTGTAAAACCCTAACTTTGAGGATTGGTGAAGTGGAAGTGTTTTCTATTTTGATAATGAGTCAATGAATAAAAAGAATCCACAGGAAAAAATAGGTAATTTTACAGAGCAGCATGAGAAATAAGAAAACTCAGTTAGCCAATAAGCAGTGCTATCACTTTATGTCCTATGACATGAGAGTTACGTGTTTGCATCTCAGTGACAGCTGCCATTTTATTGACTAGATAAGATTTGAATTATCTTATAATCCCTTTCTGTTTTAATCATATAGTTGCTTATTACCTCATAATTATAGTTTTCCTTTGCTTGCATGAAATACTGGATTGTCTTTTTTTTACCCCTTCTGCCCTGATGAATGTTTTACTCCCATACTAGCTACATGTGAATAATTTTCAACACTACCCTTTCCATTGAAAGTGTTCACTGACAATCCACATTGTTTATTTTATACACCTTATGCATTCTTCAGTCTTTTATGTAGTTATCTCATTTGACGTCCATCTATATTGTCAGACTTTCTCATAGCTTTGCCATTTAACTGACCTTGTCATTGTTTCAGATGGAAATGATCCTGAAGCTGTAGTGAAGATGGTCCAAAATTACTTGAATTATGGCATAAGGAATAAAGGATCCTTAGCGGAGCTTTTCATTACTCTATTGGTTAAGGTAATGTCTATTCTAGTTAATAAGGTTTGTATGGCAAGAAGGGAAGGCAAAGCCTCTATGTCAACCTCTTATATATACTAAAACAGCACTTGTCATTAGATGCCCAGAATTTCCATTTCTTGTTGATACAATTAGCATTTCTTACCTTGCTGCAGCTTGCTTCTGTTGAACAACTTTGGCAGAAAGGGCTTTGTGTTAGCTTGTATGAAGGATTTTGGATATCTAAAGCTTGGAATTCTGAGTTTTGCACTATTCATGTAAGTCTTCAGTTTTTTCTTTGTTTTATGGACATGGTATATTTAAGTAGCTGAAATATAACAACTATTTTTTTTGGCAGGTCGAGGATTTCACAGATCAATCTCAAATGTTGCAAGGGCAGTCGGAACTCAAGGTTTTGAAAAATACATAGCTCCATCCTCCGTTCGCTCACTATCTTGGGGCTTTTTCAGAAGGCAAGATGTTGGGAACTAAGCTAAAAGAACTTTTGTTTGGTAGAGATACCACCTCTAGGGTAGGGGATAGTGTTGCTATAAATGTGGATAAAAGTACAACCAAGCTCTCTGTCCCCAATAACTCTATCCAATTAACAGAAGACCTAAAAGGAGCAGAAACCCAGTCCAGTGGGGGGAATATTGTTGCTATAAATCTGGATAAAAGTACAACCAAACTCTCTGTCCCCAATAACTCTATCCTATTAACAGAAGACCTAAAAGGAGCAGAAACCCAGTCCAGTGTAGGGAATAGTGTTACTATAAATCTGGATAAAATTACAACCAAGCTCTCTGTCCCCAATAACTGTATCGAATTAACAGAAGACCTCAAAGGAGCAGAAACCCAGTCCAATGTAGGGAATAGTGTTGTTATAAATCTGGATAAAAGTAAAACCAAGCTTTCTGTCTCCAATAGCTCCAACCAAATAAAGAAGATCCAATTAACAGAAGACCTAAACGGTACAGAAAATCAAAGTAAAAAACAGTTTGTTGTTCAGCATGGCTCCCATCAAACAAGGAAGAGGCATTCTACAGGCCTGGATGAATCCAAGGGTGTTAAACAATGGAAAGGAGAACATCTTGGGGGCAAGAGGACAGGAGTGCAGTTCAGGGAAGTGATTGAGGAACACCTTAAACCTCTACCAAGCATTCACTGGAAAGGGAAAGATCCGGAGGCTAAAAGGAAGGAATGGCATAAATTTGGTGAAAGTAGGGGTCATTTATCCACTCATTTTGTACCCCTTAAACCTCTACCAAGCATTCAATGGGAAGGGAAAGATCCAGAGAATAGCAGGAGGGACTGGAAAATTTTTGGTGAAAATAGGGGTCATTTATCCACTCATTTTGTTCCACGACCACAAGCTTCTTATAGTATCCCTCTTTCTCATAGTTTAGTTAGCTCAACATCCCATGGTCCAGTCATGCTTCCTACTATTTCTGTTCCAAACTTATCAAGTTTTCAAGGGTTATGCAATCCTGTCCCACCACCACCATCAGGACGCTTTTTTTCATTATTGAATTCTCTAGGTGTTGATATATCACATATTCAGAGCACTCCTGCTCCAATACCACCTAGTGGACCAACTCATGGTCAACATGCTCAACATCAGCCACACTCAATGCAAAGGATACTGAGGAGATAGGTTCTTTCCATCACCCTAAAAAGCCAGTAAGTCTTCCTCCATGTACTTGGTTACTTGTATAAATCATTGGCTTACAGCTAACACTACAAGTCTTTTATTTCCTCGGTGCTTATAGGTTTTTATTAGTTTTTGTACAAATTTGGTTTGATCTTGCCACCGTCTACCCTACGCCTTGAACATTCCCGCCCACTTGCCTTAGGCGTATTACATTTTCTTTTTATATTGAAAGATTTGCTGGCTGAAATGATGGTTGTGAGAGTTTAAACTTATCATGTGACGTGGACTAAGTTTATTGTTCTGTTTATGATGATAGTTTATGTGCATGGTCTGTTGTCAAATACACAGTGTCATGAACAATTTTAACAGCGAATGACTTGAACCTATATTCTTTTTCAGCATCAAACTAAGACCCAAATGCGAAATCAAAAGCTTAAAATTAGAAGTAAATAAATTGTATCTAGAACCCTTATCACTAGAACCATGGTTGAAAGAACTGGATCAGAGGCCAATGGTGTGATCTTTCCCTATCCAATCAATTCTACCTGATTGGTTTATTTGTCAAGTAAGTTTGAGTAAATAATGAATAAAAACATGTATTTGGCTTAGTGGTGCAATTTCGAAGATGATCAATCATTCACTTGTAACAGTAGTTTAGAAAAATATGTATATTTTTTTCTTCTGGCTTGTACCAGTTTATATGTATGTATTAATGTCAGACAAGGATCCTCTGGTATCTGGTGGAACTAGTCATTCTGGTAGTTTTAAGCATGAGTACAGCTATAACTTCATTATCCTATTGACTTATCACACCTTATTGGCTAACATTTGCTTAAAGATAATGTCTCAAGATTATAAAGGTTGAAATTAAAATTTCAAGACAATATAATTAAAGGCTGAAGTTTAAAAGGCAAAATAAATGCCAAGTAGTGCTAACTGTGGAATGCAATATCATAGGCATGCAATTTTTTTAATGGATATATCAGTCCTTGAAAAGCTAGTTAGTTGTCATTGGCAAGAGGAGCTACCTGATTCAAAATTCAAATTGTAATCAGCACTATTGCTGGTTACACTATGCAAACCGTCTGACTTACATGTATTGTTGCAAAGGAAATTGGTAGCCTAAACAGATTTTTATTATTATATGTGTTGTGGTTTCGAATGATACTAAAATGGTACCATTAGCAAATGGGATAGTGTCTGTTGCCTTGGAGCATGGTGGTCTAGGGATTTGGAGAACTGTCAACATGAATGAGGCACTGCTTGTAAAACTTGTCTGAAAAATGAAGGGGATAATTGTTTACGGAGTGGGGATGTTGCTTTTACGGGTTATCTTTATAGCCAATTTTGTTATTGGCGTTAATTATCTTATTATTATTAGTTTATTAATATTTTTTTAGAAGTATTAGGATATTAATATTTTTTTTAGAAGTATTAGGATATTTTTTTATGAGTATCTTATACTATTAGAAATCTTTCCTTAGTTGGAATTGTTTTTAATTACTTGCTTAGTAAATATTTCGGTTGAACTATGTGACCTCTCTATATAAGAGGCAAATTTAGCATTGAATTTTGATCAAAAACCTTAAAGATCTTGGTCTCTCTTTTAACGAGTCCTAAGGTTTCAGTCACCCTTTTGATGACCTGAGAGGTTTCAGTCAACCTTCGATGAGATCAAAGGTTTCAGTCTCCCTTCAACGAGCTGAATAATCAATCAGAAACACAAGAACAGTTGCATTCTAAGTACTTAGTAGCAATTCATGGAGAAGTGCTCTTTAAGGATTTATTGGTAAAAACAGGAGGTAATTCATTTCTTATTTGCTATTACAGAAGTCGGGTTCATTCATGGAGAAGTGCTCTTTAAGGATTTCTGTCGGAACCGTCTTTCGGTTGGGCCTCTGGATTGGGCTTCGACTTGAATAAATTGGGTTAGAGTCGTCACCGACCATTTTAAAACGAATTTAGGTGGGTCGGACACCATCTTACCTGATTTGCGTTATACCAGAAACGTGTCGGGTTCGGGAGTCGGTTACGATCAAGGAAGGATTAGCACCCTTGAACCGTCCTTTCGGTATCAATTAATTTTTCGGTTGTCTTTAATTGCGAAAATTAAAAATTTTAATTAAAATTTACAATATTCGATTCGAATTACTTACCTCTGATTGGTTGGAATTACTACCGAAAAAAGTCAAAAAATATTTGATTCAAACATACCCAATTTCAACAACATGCATCAAATTAAGGCCAAAAGAGAGATAATTATTGAATCATCAAATTATTTCCCTATAGTCCAATTACGAATAAGAATAATTAATGTGAGTGTATAGGTGTCAAAACTAAAGTCAATTAAAACTAATTAATAAATAATGTAAGTTTAGTAACAACAGTTATCTAAATTTACAAAACAATTAATCAATTAACAAAACGTTCCAAAAAATCTGATCTAATTATTAATAATTTATTAATCAAACATGAAAATTTATCACGCTAATTACTATCTCATTAAAATAGTCAAGACCCTAATTAACCAAATTATAACTAACCAAAACAATACAATTAGGCAATTAGTGGTCGTATTTTGCAGGCAAGCAATCTAGGAAATAGAACAACACCTAATCATGGAGTCAAGGTAAAATTAATCCAATTAACATTAGTATATGTTTTAATTAAATCAATTAATGCAAAAGTCAAAACATGGAAATTAAGGTATGCCAAATGTGTAAAGGGAAAGCTGCCACCTGTGACACTGCTTGTGTCCATGATTGATAAAGATCAAAGATTGAATTGCCCCTCTTGCAAATCCAAATCCAATCGCATCTCGAGTTAACACAATCGGAATTTCACCAATAAAGAGATTCTTTCGATGCGACTCCAAATCCAGCGCATCATTTTAGCCGTCGACAGAGAACAACAGCCCGCTGATCAACAAGTCAGCGGCTCTGATTTTCCCGGTGGTCACCGCTTCATGCGAAACGGTGTTCCCGTAAACGTTCTTCATCCTGAGCAGCTCGCGCTTCCTCGGGGGGCACCAATTTAACTAGCATCTCGAGCATCTCTTCGCTCCCTCGGTAAGCCGCGACGTGAGATATAGTGTCCTTGCACGGTGACTCGACTGAACAACGCTCCAAGGTTTTCATGGTAGATCTTCTTCAAGCCGTGAACGTCGTTTGCCAAAAGCTTGACGTAAGCATCTTTCATTTCGTAGAAATTGTTCGACTCGGAGTTGGAGATGATTATTTCTTTCTCCTCAAATATCCAATGAATTCCCCATTAGAAGCATCGTCTTCTTGGTCAATGTGACAACGCCTTTAACTTTGGAATTGCCTTTAAGAATCGATGTTGCTTTCTTGGATGCAGCAAGCGCGGAAAAGCTGCTGCTCGATGGAGGCCTTGAACTAGGCTTCATTCGGTATTTAGCCTTGGTGGTGTAGTTGGAAACTTTTCATGCCTTGGCTTTCAACAACACTGACTGGATGTAGGTGACGATCCAACCGGTTCCACCACCATGGAAAGAAGAGAAAGAAGGCAAAGAGAGAGTACGAGCCTCGTGTCCCTTTTCTTTGCTGGAAACCGAAAACCCCCCGCTTGAGAGAGAGCTGAGCCCCTCTTTTTCTATTGTAATTCCCTCCTCCTCAGTGTTTTGATCATGCAGGTATATATAGCCTCCCGTCGGAGGCTCTTCCTGAAATTGTTGGAGGTTGTTGTCCATGAAAACTCGTCACCGGATAAATCGGGGTTGTTATTGCTTTGACCCGTTCCAAGTGCGTTTGGTTGAGAGTCATACGACGTGAGAAGAGATGGGAAGATGGGGCTGAACCGGGTCCTCCTGATCCGGGTCGTGGGTCTGGACACGGGTTGGTTCTTAGGCCAACTGCTGGGTCACTTGCACTTGGGCTTTCTTATTTGCATTTGGGCCCTATAAAAAACAAAATAAATGTAAATATTATTATTATATAATATAATTTGTAATTATACCGTGTAATAATGTTTATCGGTCGAAATTTGGTGTCTACAATTTCATATAAGGTAATAGCAACAAATTTCTTTTAGTATGTTGAAGTAATTAGGTAGGAACCATGCTTGGTTTCTGTAATGTGTACACTTCTCATGGGATTTGGGACGGGCATTGGATTCAATTTTTTCATTATGTGTTTTGGATAAGGAAATGACTTTCTACTCATGCATATTTTGGATAAGGGGGGTTGAGCCTATTGGTCTGTATGGATGGATTTTTTAGTTAAAGTAGTCTAGGGTTTTTGCTAGGTCCTGCTGATAAAACTTGAATTGGACTCAGAATTTGGTATTAGATGTGCTCCCAAGGTCAGTACTTCCTTTATCTGATTGTTGTCAACAGGTTACTGTTACATCCACTATCAGCTGAAGTTGATATGGTTGTGTTGTTTAAAAGCCTAAAGCGTCCTCTTTCAGCCATTTTAAGTCCTTTTTGTCCATGATTGCTTATTGTTTCACATGTCTGGAAGCCGGAAGGAATGTTCTTATAGAGGATTCTAATCCTTGGACGACTATGTATGGGTTTGTCTGCTGGCTTATTTGGAAGTTATGAAATAAGATTCTTCCCGACTGTGTTTCATTTGGGCTAATTTTCTGAGTATTAAAAAGCTTGTTGCATTTCAGGTCAGGTTATCCCCAGGCAACCTGGCTTGTTAAACTTTTATGGATGTTGCATCAATTTCTTATACTAGGGATATGGGAATTTATGGTCTGTAATGTATCGAGAATAGCAGTTGGAAATTTTTGTTCAGTTAGAACTAGTAGTGAAGGCTCTATGTCGAAGGTGAGCTTTATGCTAACCTAATGGGGATGAGGTAGGCATGCGATCAGGGCAATCCCAGAACAGCTTATTGAGTTGGATTCCTTGCTAGCTGTTCATGGAGAATGATTTGAAACTTGTTGAAGTGATTTCATTGTAATATTTTTCTTGTTTTTTTATGCATCGGTTGTCATTTAATTTGAGAAAATACGGTATGCAATCATTAATTGGAAGTGTAAAATGGAACGTGGAAAAAGATAGTGGCACGTAGCGAAATGCGATGTTGATAAGCTTAGGTGGACATCATTTTCTTGGTGCCATTTATTGGAAGTCAATGAAAATAAGTTCTAGTTTACTGTTGTTCAACATGCGTGAAGTGTTTTGGGTCTGTTTTACTAGTAACTTTGGGTTTGGTTCAGCATCTTCTGAATGTACACATGTAACCTCCTTACCTTTCTGGGGTTAGCTTCTCACAACTATTTTGTCCCTTTCAGGGTATAAATACTGTAGCAGCTTCTCAAATCTGGTTTGCTTCTCAACGAGGAATGGTTCTTTGCATGACCTGTTGACACTTATAAAATGTCGGGGTTACTAAATGTATTATTACTTGAACTGAGAACAGTTTATTTGGAGTCGCAATCTTGTTTACGGACTTCCCTTTTTAGTTTGTCTAAATGAAATATGTATCTTTTGTAGGTCCATTTAGTTGTTTTAGCAGATAACCTGACCTATATTTTCGTGTTTGTAGAAGCAACATATTGGATTCTGTTGCCTCTATTTTTGCGCATGTGTATGTGCTTCCCCATATCAGTACGTTCTGGCATACTGGTTTTAGGAACTTAGGGTACAAATGTATTGATTATAGGTCAATGATGCTCCACTAAAAGTTAATTGGTTCGAAATATTAGTAATTATGGATCATTAATGATGGAATGTTTGGAAATATTCTTCCTTTTATCGTGTACTGTCTTTTTAATCGAAATTTAAAATCAAATTTGGATGTGTCACGTGATTCATGTCTGCTGTCAGTATTATTTTTCTGTTTGATTATTGTTTTTATTTTTGTATTACATGTCTGTCTATTAACTGAGAATTATAATGTGTATCTGGTTGCAGCAATGGATCAGCAACAAATCTTCAAGACAGTAGTGGACGTTCTTTTGCAACATCTTTCTCTGGTCAGTCTGGTGCAGCCTCTCCTGTTTTCCATCATGCTGGTGGGTATATTTTACTGGATTTCCACAACTAAGTTCTTCGAAACTCATGCAATTGTATTGTTTGTTTTGCAGACAATATTCAGGCTTGCATAATATTCATGGTAGCTTTAATGTTCCCAACATGCCTGGTACACTCACATCAAGAAACTCAACATTAAGTAATGTTCCAACTGTTGGGGTTCAACAACCTACTGGGAGCCTATCTGGTGGAAGATTGCATCAATAATCTTCCTGTTGCTCTTTCTCAGGTGCCTATAATATTCCCATCATACTGGAATTTTGATTGTAGAATTTCTTACATTTGATGGAGAAGTTAATCATTGTGCAGACTAGATGGTCCGGAAGGCTTCGGGAGGTAATGATTTGAAACTTGTTGAAGTGATTTCATTTATGTAGAATCATAGAGAATGATATTTTAAGAATAGCTAGGCCAAGTGCTTATATTGCTTAACCAGAGCATTTAATAACACGTACAAAGGAAAATCGAAATATACAATCTTATGTCCAAACAAAGAATATAAGCTAGGAACACCTCACTATCTCACAACAAATCTTTGGCAGAGTAAATAGGGTGATATAAACCTGTATTGCTACTATCTATTGGTGAAAACATGATTCACCGATTTACTAGTCTAACTTAAACATGAAGAAGGGCATGCACTTGGCTCTATGAATATTCTTTTGGGAAACAGTTTTTGGTTGCCTGTCTTTCGATTTCTTAGGGTTTAAATGATTCAAGGGCAGTTAGGGTTCCGACCTGGACCACCATAGTAAAAGTAGCTGCCCCAATTGCCACCTTTTCCAGTTTCTACATCATAGCAGCTGGATTGCTCGGTAAAGGTGGCAAGGCCTTTAGGAACCCTGAGATTGTTGGATCCATCAACAATTTGAATATTCTTAAAGTAACTAGCTTTGCCGAAACCTTCATTGGGGAAATGGCCACTCCCCATTTGTGTGGATGTATGCTGCCCGTCTGATTCCGAGTTCACAACCTCTCCTCCCATTCAATCATGGATGCACTATCCGATAGGTAGGAAAATAGGAAGGCCGGCCAGTAACCCAGCACGTAATTGTTACCGAATTGCAGCCACCAGTTCCCCGTCTTGGGATCCTGCCACGTTTTCAGCCATTTGTGCACTGCTTTAAAATCATTTGGAGATAAAAACACATGCACACTTCATACACTCATGGATATACATATTTGATGTTCCTAATGCTTTAATAACAGATCACGAAAGATTAGTATTTATCTCAATCGTATTTCAATGATGTTTTCCTATGGATTGATTTATGAGTAGCTTTTTAGTCCTTACCTTCCACACAAGTAAGCTTATATCATATTGGGAACTATGATAACCAGAAATAGGGTAGATGCTTGCACCCATTGCTATTTCATTGTTGATCTGAATGAAGCCTGAGCAAAGTAGATTATAACAACCAGTGGCTTGATATGCATCACTCTGTTTTTTAGTGATAAAGAAAACTGAGTTAAAAAATAGTTAAATAGAACTGCATCAAAGTAGTGAATGGTAACATGGAGTTTCTTACAGTCCAATAAGTGAAGAGTCTAGTGTGGTTATCTCCATACAAATCTGGGCTAACCTGTTATTAATTTTGTACACAAAGACAGGCCAGTGAGTTAAATAACCGAGTCAAAGAAAATAATTTGAAGTTGTTGTCAGGTAAGAAGGTAGCACCTGCCAGCCTGCTTCAATGCTATTGAGATCTTCACCAAATGAACCTCCCAATATCCAGATTTGGGACAAGCTGAATTCGTTAGGTTGCTGTATTTTGGGTTCCCATACGTTAATGGTTGCCTTAGCTCCATAGTACTTGTCCCCATCCACGTAAGCTATTGCATGCTACATCAAGGCTCGAACCACCATGAAAAAGGAACATGTGTACAACATGTATCAATTTCATCTTCATGAGGATTATAATTATATGCAATAATCAATTTGTTTTAGCAGGGGTGGACCCATGGTTCAAATTTCTATATAGTTTATATATTTTTATTGATAATTTTTTTATATTTCCTAAATTTTAATCTAAATTCTTAAGTTCACATTCCTTAATATCAATCGTAACATCTTGTATTTGATCATGGTCAATTATAGTGAATATCAACCGTAAGTCATTATGTTTAAAGGCCTAAATCTTTTCATGAGAAAACAGGGATAGATCGAGGGGCTAGCAGGGTCGGTTGTCACTTGAAAGTTTTAGATTATCATATTTTCTTTGCATTTTTTATTGATAATATGTTTTTGTCCTTTTAAAATTTTACAAGTTCATTCTTTAATATAAAATCTTGCATCCTCACTACGAAAAAGTATACTACCTGATGACCACTCTGACTGATGAGATCAGGATCTGCAGACCTTGGTTGAGGGATGGTTTTGTGCCTCTTTTTCCCAAACGCTTTGATAGAGCTTGCTCTTAACAAATCATCTTCTTTAGTTTTTCTCATGGGGATAGTTTCTTCTGGACACCTTCCATTCAAGTGCCACACCTGGGTAATTTTCTTAGACGATCCCGGTTTAGTCTTTGAAGAAACCTTGCTGTCGGCAAAAGCACGTTCCGGGTGAAAGTTTGGGGTCATCTGGAATTTGAAACAGAAGACGACCTTTAGAAGACCATGGATGGAAGTAACCTCGTCAAAAAATGGCGGTTAAATAAGATGAATAAACCTGGATTTTATGGTTTTTGAATAATGGATGATCGAAAGCAAGTTGGTGTGCAAGTTTGATACAGTCAATTATATCTCCATCTGGACTCTGTTCAGTGCATACACACAAATGCAGTGAGTTAACAAAGGAGTGTCATATTAGATAATGAAATTTACGTCCAAATTGACAATTTATTAGCAGATAACTAGTTTTAAGTAAATAACACAAGAAACTGAACATAACTAGATATCGAAAGGGAACTTCTGAGATGTTCATAAAATCAAATTCTGACCTTGATAGATTTAACAGCGGGCTTATTCAAGAGCTTTAACTGGGCTTGGACCTCAAGATTTTGAGTAGATAAGCTGCTTGTGCTGGCAGTTGAGGGTGTTGTCATCTCTATGAAGAAGGAAACCAACATGACCAAGAACCTCAACATCTTCCCTCTTACCTGCACCTCCATGGCTAATAACACCCAAAGATAAAAGAAAATAAAAAGGGGGCAAAGGGTTGAAGGTGGTTGCACTATAGGTTAAGGCAGGGAGGACATTGATATTGATATTCTGCAAATCCCTCCACCAACCTTTCACTGTTATTATAACGCGCAAGAATCTTTTAAAAAGCAAAAACAAAAAGGCCCCTTTTCTATTTTCCCCCCAGAAGAAGCCAAGCCAACTGCCGACGCCTCTATAACTTTTCCATCAACCACTAGTCTTTGCTAAGACAAAAATGCGGTGAAATGGAGAAGATGAAGATAGATAAAATGAACAGGAAGATGCTATTTTTTATTAGGGCAAATAACTTATTTAATCACTCACCTATTCTTACAGTTTTGTTTTAGTCGTCTAATTGTTTTAAAAAATATATATTTAACGTTATACTTTTCCGTTTTAGTTAATTATCATTAAAAAAATGATCAGATTTATTATAATATGTTAATATGATTTTAAAAAAAATAGTGATCATAATAGAATCACGTGAATTGATAGATAAATATGTAGTTTACCTTTATTATTATTATAAAAAATATTGATAGTTGGAAAGAAAGGAGGAGATAGACATGATCCATTTAAATTTATCTTTTTTGTTGTTGTTGGTCTCCACTAGCACTAGGAATAGTTTTGGTGCGTAAGGTTTGGTTTGATTATAGAAACCAGACAAACTTTGTGTAGCAAAGGGACACCATTTTTGTCCATTAATTCACGTGAATCTACATATTCCCCCTTAACCGTTTTCTAAAATCAACAACCCTACTATTTTTCCCAAATAACCATAGCAATAATGACAAAACATAAAACATAAATAAAAGTTATAGCCCTTTGTGAGTTATATATATATATATATATATATATATACCCTTTATGGTATATGTATTATTGTCCATTGAATTCTCTGGAAGCATGCCCTCAAATATCATCTTTGTTAGCTTCTATGGAGAATAAGTAACGCTTAGTTGACCAAATAAATCAGGCGGATTTTTTTTTGTTGAGAAATATATGTCTTAGAATTAATTTAAGGTATAAGTTATTTGTTGCAGTACATATACTCGTTAGGATAGAACGGCGAGTTTCATAAAATATAATAAATAATAAAACTCATCATGAAGACATGACGGGTTTTATATAATTTCTTTCTGTTCATAAGATGAGTTTATTTTTAATATATTTTATAGAACTCGTCATTCCTTCGTGACGAGTTCCACGTATACTGTAGCAATTTAGATCCCAAGATAATCTTTTAACACCTACAATTTTTCAAAATAAAATTCACCCACAATATTCTAAATTTTATTGAATAAGTTACTAACATAACTTAAATTAAATTAAATTAAATTCTTCAAATAATTTAAAAATTTTACTTTTTAACCTTTAAATTTTTTAATAATATGCATTTTGAAATTTCTTGTCCAAGTTAATTAATGTTTATATGGTTTAGGTTTAATACAAAAATAAATGTCTATATGCTTCGAAAAACGTTATAGTGCCTAAAGAACTTTTCACTAAAGATATATGTCTAACATTTTATTGGAGCACTTTTAGGTGCTTGGATAGTAACGGCCGTTAAATTTGGTCATTAAGTGACACGTGTTATCTTCTGATAATTTTGAGAATTTATTTAAAAATTTTAAAATATAAAAATATAATGGTAGGCACCTAAAAGTGTCACTTAAATAACTTTAGACACTTATTTTCAATAAAATTTTCTTTAGGCACTAAATCATTTTTTGAGATAAAGCTTAAACATTTATTTTTACTTTAAGCATATATTAACCCTTAATTAAAGTAAAAGTCTTAATTTAGAGTAAGAACAACCTTGTCCGAAAGTGGTCCGTGAGTATTTAGTTAGGTCTAGTCCAACGTTGGTGTAACCCTAAATAAATAATAAAAGAAATAATGCGAATGGCATCGATTACAAGACAAACCTAAACAAGTACAGCTACAGCCGCACTTCAATTATTAATCACGGAGTGGAGCCATTGTGCTTGTGCCACTAACTTCCCACCTTGTTGGGTTCTTCATTTCATGTTCGGATTCAAGCTCATATACCCACATTACACATTTACGATTTTTTTCCATTTCTTTTGAGATATTATAAATTTAGGATGTTAGACCAAAATAATTCAGGATGATTGTAAAATAATATATATTTAAGATTTTTTTAATCTTAGTAACGAATATACACTGTGGATTAGATTTTGATGGAGCGGTCGCAACATTAAGAAGCAGTTCAGCATGTGGAGTTTTACACGACCATGAAGGTAATCTTATTGTGGGATTCAACAAAAAAATTAGGGGTGTCATAAGTGATCCAAACTGAATTTTAGGACGTCCTGGAACAAGCATGAGAGAATGGCTTCGTATACATTCTTCTCCAGGTTGATAACTTCCGCTTCACCTACCAGTTTCTTTTCCTTAGTTTATTGCATTGTTGATTTACTGTACAGAGCATGACTCATTGATTTCAAACTAATTCAACGTGAAGCAAATATGGATACAATTTATTTCATAAAACTCAACGGATGAGCTAATGATAGCTCACGGATTCTAATTACTATTTCTATGGATATTCAAGAATTATTTCTACGGATATTATATTAATCGTTCAAAGTAACGAAATATACTTTAATTTTATAAGGGCATATTTTTTAGTTTTAGCTTAGGGTATATATATAGAGAGAATGAAAAATATATTATGGAAAGGAAACAACATGAGTACGAAGAAGTGAGGGTAAGTGTTCGATCGAGTCAAATTGAATTAAAAAAATCTTGAGTTATTGGAGTTGACGGGGCCTATTTATAACTCAAACTTTATTGAATTTTTTTCAAGTTTAATTGTTCGAGTTTCTATTTAAATTTAATTATAATTATTTATAATATTATGATATTATTTGATTCTAATTTAAATTATTTTCTATAACCATATACAATACTATATATTTCTTCATATTTTTTCATATGTAATATATATATATATATCCTACAGAATTGAGGGACTAGAATCAAACTTAAAAATCAATCCACTAAAAAATGTGAGTTGTTCGAGTTTTATTTTATAAATCGACTCGAATTTAAATTTTTTCAAGTCAAATCGAGTTTATAAAATTACAAATAGTTCAAAACAGGACCCGAGTTGTTTTGAGCCTCGAGAAACAGCTCATAAAAGTACACTATCAACGACCCTAAGCCCCACCCATGCATTCGCATTATGCATGGTGCTAACTGCCGCCGTTGATTATGATGTCTCTGCTAACATTTTTATTCGCCTTCTTAGTTTCATGTATTACGCCATAATGAAATTTTAAGAATCAAATATAAATAATAATAAAATGATAGTTAATATTTACTTATGGAATTGTCAAATATAAATTTCAAGGATTTTAATAATGATTTAAAACTTAGGAGTGTCAACCGACTGACCTAGTTAATGAAATTAATAGTGACAAAAATTGGAGGGTATTCCTCCAACAAGTGCATGTTATCTCGGCAAGTTCGTGGTTGGCCTTGTCAGGCGCCTGTCTTCGTGTTTGTATCAACAACAATCCAAGCATTGCTTCCTGATGGCATGACGTAAATGTTGGGAAAATATAAACTACACAATTAAATTTTAACATTCTCTAGAAATTTATATATTTACCGACTCATTTCATTGCTATTTCTTTTTCTCTCCTTCTCTCATCATTTTATTTATCCATATGCTTCTTATTTTGCTTCAGAATTTATATATATTCATAATCAGATTGGTTTTTTCCTTTTACTTAATGCAAAAAAATTAAGTTTCTATAATGATATGACTAATATATCATATCTTGACCGATTCTTTGGATCCAGATAATCTGAAGCGATGAGTTGGCTATTAGTACTATAATTATTAGCTTATATTGTGGTCCACTCTTACAAATGCATAATGTGATGTACCATTACATATGCTTCCATGATGCCCTGTCTCCACTTTGATCACATCACACCCCATAACTAAATTCAGTTTCAGATCTATATACTCGCATTTAAATTTTATCCTAAGATTTTATTTGTATCATTAGGAAGAAATTACTAATAAATGTATCATTTCCCATACCTCTTTGGGCCTTATTTTTGCTCAAATTTAATCCCCAAAATATTTGGAAAAAGGACCCATCCACACTACAAACCTTTTACGGGACTATTTCATTTTCAAGGGCCCTTGCAAAAGGATTATTCATTTTTTTTAAAAGTTTGTCCTTGATGTTTATCTTTTTTTTGTACAACATTATTTAGGTGTAATAATAAATTTACTTTTTAATATATATTAATTAAATTCGAAAAAAGTCGAATTACTTTTTTAAACTAAAATGTTGATAATGACAAGAGAATCATAATATTGATTTTGACATAAAAGTTCAGGTGTATTTCATACAAATAAAAATGTATTTGTCTCATAAGTCACATTAATAAAAAAAAATATAAATATAAAAATTAACTTAAAATATATGTGGATTCATATGTAAGGTGTTATGCATGTCGTTAATACTTACTATTTCAAATGTTTTCATTTAGAAAAAATATTCGAATCTTTTTATTCAAATCATATTTATATTTCTGAAATTCATTTATATAAATCTTGACATATCAATATTATAGTATATAGATTTTAGTCTATATTCATTATGTTTGTACTATGTTTGTGATTTTCTTTTAATCATATTTAAATTATTTAATTTTTTCTATACTCAAAATTATGTTGAGGACCTTGAACTCTCATGAAAGTTTTATATTATTTATCTTTTTTTAAGAGAGTTATGTAATTAATATTTCAAAATTAACAGAAAATCAATATACATAATTGCCTCACTCAGGGAGATTATATTACATTTTTCAACCCCAACAACTTCAATTCATAAACTTAAGCTTGATGAAGTCCATCAATTTGTTTTATATCACGGCACAGACGATCCAAGACTAAGCTGTAAATCAATACCTAATCCATTATCAATCTTAGGCCCACCTTCATTTTCTCCGAACCGACTGACCACCGGAAAAACTCCTGTATAATCCCGCACGTCACCGGAAAAAGCAGCGGCCATGGTCTCCCTTCCTTCTCCCCTATATAAACGCGGTCCTTGCGCAGAAGCAGACCCACAAAGGTACGTACCACCATGCAACAAACGCAACGGGGCTCCTCCTCCTCCTTGTGACATGGAAAATGAAGATTGATACTGCGGCGGTGCAGCAGCTGATGGTACCATGGCGAAGAGGTGTGGCGAGCGTGTAAAAGCCGATATCATGGAATTCCGAGTAGCAGCTTGCATTTGAGCACGCTTTAGTAGCTGCCTTTCCTTCTTGTGAGCATTTTGGTGACCTCCTAGGGCTTGAGAGTTAGCAAACTCCCGGAAACAGTACTGGCACTCGTATTTACGGCCATCCGTTTCGAGTTCAGTCGACCCCTCCGGAGGCTTGGTCGAATCATCTGCGGCCGCGCTTTCGACGATGTTGAAGCCGAAGAGCTTCAAGGGTTTCGGGTGGAAATCAAGATCAGTCATACCCCAAAAAAGAAGGGAAAGAAACTTATAAGGTAAATTGTGTATTAACGCAAATGATAGATCGGAAGGTGGGTTTCATGAGCTAAAACTATATAAGAGAAGTTTACTCGAGAAGGAGTGAAGATGGGCAAGAAAAAGGAGAGGGTTGGTTGTGAAAATAATCCTCAAGAAATAGCTAAAGCAAAGCAAGATTTGGCCATGAAAAATGTTAGGAGATCAACACTTTAACCGTGGTTCTCTGCTACATTAAATTATTTCATGATAAAAGAAAATATTATTCTTCTTAAAAATATTAGAGTATATAAAACGTGTACGTGATTAAGTAATTAAGAAAATCATGAACAAATATTAGCAATCAACAACTAAAGCAAAACAAGATTTATTCATGAAAAATGTTCGGATATCAAGACTTTAATTATCATTCCTCGAACCCATTAAAAGTTTTTAATAATAGAAGATAATGTTGTTCTCTTTAGAGTATCCGAATCCAAACAATTATTTCTGTAAGATGTACGTACATTATTAATAAATTAAGAAGAATTCTTAACCTATATTATCTCGTAATTATTTAATATTATTAAAAAGAATTGTCGTCTCTCACATGAAAAACTCCATGTTGCACGTGTAATCACTATGTCGTTCAAGTTTGATTACTGGGTCTGAATAATAGTCGAGATTATGCATACTTCAAAATGTGTTAGGTTGGAAATGATTGAGATATTAATTAAAAAAACTACTTGAGATCTGAAGCTACGATTACATAATCTTATTTTAATTTACCAAAAGTTTTAACGTTAATGAAAGGATGCATAGTGGCATGGGCCATAGTGACAGAGTATTGGATTATAATCGCAACATGTTTGCGTGATTGACGTAGAAATCAATGGGCTTATTTTAATCAAGGCAAGATCTTCACGAATCTTACTAACCACCACAATTTATGCACACTTCTCTCTCCATAATTCTTAGTCACCTTACTTAACCACTTTAAGTCATCACCACCATTCATTATTCTACTTCTCTCATCTTCACCATGTTAATTTTATTATTTGTATTCATTAATATATAGATGAGTTAATTATACTATACATCCTCAAATTATGACTCACATTCTAAATTGGTCCCTAAACTTTTCAACATTCTAATTTCATACTCCAATTATGACTCTCATTCTAAATTGGTCCCTAAAATTTTGAACACTCCAACAACACCCCCCTTAATCATTCAAAAGTTTAGCAACCAATATAGAATAAGGATCATAGTTTGGGGATGGATTCAAAATATTCAAAAATTTAAGATCAATATAATTTGGGAACATATAATACAATTAATTTTATATAAATTCATGTTCCGTCGATAAATTAAATTGATGAAACATTATTAAAATTTAATTTAAAATATTTTTTTTACAAAGTGTCACGTTGCCCTACTTGCAACAGATAAAATAATTTGCAATTAGCTTTTCTTTCATTAAAATTTTGGTGTTACATGTGAAAGAAATGCAACTCGGTTGATGTTGCATGGTATGATGACGGAAAGCACCATACAAAATCTCCACTTTAATAAGAAATGGATTAAAAGTCATGGCCACATCTAACTGTCATCAACAAACAATGTTAACTTCTATTTATAGATCAAGTGAGTCCACCCATTGTTTCCTTGGATTCAAATTTATTTTTTATTGAATATATTTAAATATTATTGTATTATTCAAATTCAAATAACTTAAGTTATCAATCAACCTCATCTCATGGGATTTAACACCAATTCGATCAATGATATAAATCCGGTTAAAGAACACAAAATTAAAAATTGGCTAGAAATTGATTTTTTATTTTTTAATATGATTATTGATATTTGATCTATTAATCGATTAGTCTAGATTAATTAATATATAAATTCATTATAGAGACAATTCTCTCAATCTAATTTGATCTTACAAAGTCAACGTTTTTTTATATAAGCTTTTAGTTTTATTGAAAATAAAAATATTCAAATTACAACTAAGGTTTACAAATATAACCGTAAACTAAACACATAATAAATATATTATTTTATAATCATTGACACAATAAACTAGCCACTTAATATCACAAAATGGTCATACACGGAAAAATATTAAAAAATCTAATCAAATAAACTCGAATAAAAGATAGATAAGAACAAATTTGATTACATCGAAAAAATGAAGTATAAAATTAGATCAAGCTATTGAAAGACCATCGAAAAATCATAAATTAGAGTCGAGTGACATGAGAAAATTATCCACGAACATAAATCTCGTATCCATATCCAATTCGAGGGTTCAAAGCAGGAAAAATCGTCATGATAATGAATAAGTGTTATCTTGATAAGTCGTGACGGTATCAAATTCAACCCTAAGAAAAAGGATGAACAAAATAAATGACCAAAAATTGTTTCACTAATGTAGAGGAAAATGTACCAGAAAAGCATAGGAAAGTGTGTCATAAAAGTAGAATTATTAAAAATTAAAGAAAATAAAAAAATAAAAAGTATATAATAAACTAAAAAACTATTAATATTGACTATTGATGACCAATAATAAAATCGGTAGTTATAAAGATTAAAAAAAAAAAGAAATTAGTCGTGGTACATGGAAGTTCTACCGTATAGCAGCATTAATATAATATTAAGGAAAGACTCTATCAGAAATGTTATTATTTTTTTAACATTTCTGGTAAAAATTTACCTAAAACATTATTTTTCTTTACCTGAAACATTAATGTTTTTTAATATTTCCGGTAAAGTGTTCAATATTAACGTTTCCGGTAAAAAAAATAATGTTTTAGGTAGCGCTTTATCGGATATGTTAACAAACCCGGTAAAACGCCTAATAATAACATTTTCGGTATAAATAATAATGTTTTAGATAATTTTTTACCGAAAATATTAAAAAAATAATAACATTTCCGGTAACACATTTTCTTAACCGTAGCCGCACGTTACACTTTCCCGCGGTACAATAAAAGAAAGGAAATTAACATTTTTTCTTTCTTACAAAGTCTACATTCGAAATACTGTACTTGATATATATATATATATATATATATATATATATATATATAGAGAGAGAGAGAGAGAGAGAGAGAGAGAGAGAGAGTATAAGCAAAAGTAGGTGTTGAGAACTTGAGATTATCAACTAAGGTTTGCTACAAACGGACTGACTTTACAATTGAGTTTGTACATCACATCCCAAGGCATCTGTAAATTTGTAATGATCATAAGTGGTCGTGTGAACTTCTCCTGTCGAACACAAAGAAAACAGAGTTTGCTTACTGCATATGGTGACACACGGTGCATTTATGAGCAATCTGTCAAACAGGCAGATCTGATTTTATCATACGGCACATTTAACTCTCCAGCCACGACATGGATACACTGAAACTTAACAATGCTTGTCTAACATACACACCAAACATTAAAATAAGGAATAAAAGACTGCAAGTACTTTACCCTCAGTACTTTTTCACCCAAACTGCAAATAAACTTCTAATAAACAAGAAAACAGCAAAAAATTACACGCTTAAGAATCTCACCGTGATTGGTAAGGATATGCTTAGACTCTCATATTGCCACACTTTCTTAACATCCATCTTTGAACTTGTCAGCAATAATTCTACAAGATTACTTATTCTAAATACGGATAATAACGCACAACTAGATATTCCTTTCCCTCCCAAAACTATGATTTCGTTTTATTCTGTTAATGGAAATAAATTTAATTTGCTAATCGTAACCGATTTTTTTTATTTAGTGAAAAGTTACTATCGGTAAAAGTACGATTTTTGATCAAAATATCACTGCTAGAGAACGAAAAACCATAAAGAGTGAAACGATTCTGGAGGAAGAGGAATATATGTTTTTCAGTCTTGTTTTAGGTATAAATATGCTGATTGTAAGATGGTTGATGTCAGGTACATGATCATCATAGGATGTCAGTTTGTACAAATACAACTGTCATCTATCAGATTTAGTTTTCAAAAGCATATCAGAAGTTAATAAAGGTGAGCTCTAGGTGACCATGCGATTAAGATAATTACTAGGATGACTAGACATTTATGGAGGATTTTCAAACATTTTATTTGATTGATGTTTTAAATGACTACGTTGACAGAAAGTCGGTATTCTCCAATAAATTTATTCTTAAGATAGAACTACGTCAATTTTATTTGAATTTATATCAATTCATTCGTGACTAAAAATCCATAATGCACGCTTACTGTACATTTTACAATACGTGCAGTATGTTTATTACGCATAATAATTCGCCAACTTACCAAACATGACTCTAAAAGAGCGTAAAGACTAGTAATTGAGTCGATGGTAGAAAATAATTGTTTATTTTATTAACTGTGTCTATTTAAAAAAATTGTTATTAATATATATATATATATATATATATATATATATTCTAAAAAATAATTTTAAATCTACCGCCAACTAAATGACACTGATAATAGCTTAAGAACTAATGATAAACTTCCTACAATCGGCTTTGAGTCTAAAGCTTAAGAACTTTATGCGAGGTACTGTAACTTCCCAAACTATGGGTTGGTGACTAAATTGTAAAATTTTAGAATTTGATGATTTAAGTGGAAAAGTTGACAAGTTCAATGACTTATTTAAAATAATATCTGAAGGGTTATTGATAATTATTGAAAGAGTCAAAGGGCAAATAGGTCATTGAACAAGTAAAATAATTAAATAATAATTAGTGGGTATTATTATTGGTCAAAGAAGGCCAAAAGCAGCCGGCGGCTGCTTCCAAAATCAAGTGGGGGGGGTTCTTTTTTTTTTAATATTTTGTAATAGGGTTAATTACAAAATTGAATCATTGAACTTTAGGGTATTTACAAAGATTAGTCCCTAAGTTTCAACTATAAATACCCTAGCTCATTTAGCTTCAAAATCATCCCAAAATCTTCTAGTTCTCTCTCAAGTGTGTTGTGTAAACACCTGTAAATTTTCTCTTAGTAAAAGATCTGCAGCAGCCTGGAGACGTAAGCACAATTGGCTGAACTCCGTTATCAATTTCGGGTATTATTTTTCCGCTTTTATTTCGCATTCTCACTAATCTGGTTATAGGGAAATTACTCGTACTCGATTTATTTCATAACAACTGGTAATCAGAGCTTTTGGTTGTGAATTTTGTCAATTTTCTGCGAGGTTACTATCCATTACTATT